GAGCGGCGAGAACGCCGAGAAAGTTGTGCCGGAATTTGCCGGGCTAAGGGATTTCGGCGGCCGTGTCATGCATGCTTGTGAGTATAAATCCGGAGAGGATTATGAAGGGAAGCGTGTTCTGGTTATTGGGTGTGGAAATTCCGGCATGGAAGTTTCCCTGGATCTTTGCCACCACAATGCAATCCCATCAATGGTGGTTCGAAGCTCAGTAAGTTGGAATTAAAATTAATCCCCACAATTCAGTTGCAAAATTTCTTACTAAATAGTCTGGTTGGACCGAATAACTAGAAGTTGTTATTTAATCAGATTCTGTGCTAATATAAACCTGGATTGATGGGACAGGTCCATGTTTTGCCGAGGGAAATTCTGGGGAAGTCGACGTTCGAGCTAGCGGTGGCGATGATGAAATGGCTGCCGGTTGGGGTGGTGGACAGAATACTGGTGGCCGCGGCAAGAATCATTCTGGGAAACATCGAAAAGTACGGTCTGAAAAGGCCAGAAATTGGGCCTTTGCAGCTGAAGAACAATGAAGGGAAGACCCCTGTGTTGGACATTGGCACACTGCAAAAGATTAGATCTGGGGAAATAAAGATAGTCCCAGGAATCAAAAAGTTTTCGCCTGGAAAAGTGGAGCTTCTTAATGGGGAAATTCTGGAGATAGATTCTGTAATTCTGGCAACTGGGTATTGCAGCAATGTCCCCTCCTGGCTAAAGGTTAGAAAAGAAAAGAAATGCAATATTCTTATTTTCTTTGATAATTATTATCTTTTGAATTTTGTGACAGTTATGGAAGTTGGTTTCTGTAGATTCCCTCTTCCTATCTGCAACACAGTCATCTGTTAGGTGGTCTGTCTTTTTTTTTTTTTTTTTTTTTGGGTTTCACCAGAAAAAGATTGAGTCATATATCCAAGAAAATGGATGTAGTTAGGTAGAAGAGCAGATCAGATCTGATGTGCAATATTTAGGAAAGGTGACATTATTGAACAAGGTTAAGGTGGTTGTTAGATGTCATAATAGAATTTATTTAATTTGTTGACAGGAAAATGAATTCTTTTCAAGAGAGGGGTTTCCAAAAAGCCCATTTCCAAACGGGTGGAAAGGCAAATCTGGGCTCTATGCTGTTGGCTTCACAAGGAGAGGTCTCTCTGGTGCTTCTTTGGATGCCATTAGAGTAGCACAAGATATTGGCAAAATCTGGAAACAAGACATTAACCAGAAAAATCAATCTGTTTCTGTTGCAGTTGCATGTCAATGCAGAAGCAAGGCCCATTTTTAGCATACCATCACACATCTGCTCTTTCGGGAACGGGGAATGGTATTTAAGTTGGGGCAAAATTTTCACTCATGACCTAATTTTTTCCGGTGGAATTTGGGTATCGACTTGAGTGGCTATCGAAACTTCGTTCCTATTGTGTTCATTCTCTTTTTTATTTATTTTTTCCCTGTAACCTACTGTGCAAGTGACAAATCATATATACTGACCCAAAAAAGAACCCAAAAAAAAAAAAAAAAAAAAAATTGTACCAAGAGAGAAAATGACTGATAAAACAGAGAGCAGCCCTCTCCAGAAAAGATCTCAACATAGCTTTGGGTAATTTTTGTAGGATGAAGAGGCTTTTCCTTTTCCCAGTATTCCAGTTCCAAGAAATGTTGTACAAAATGTTGAATGATGTGCAATACAAGTATTTTTCTCAGTTCAAAAGTGTAAGGCCAAATGTTGAAATATATCTCTGTACTATATACGAAAAGTCAATTAAACTTTTGAACTTTTAGAAGTTACAATTAAACACATCAACATGTCATTTTCGTACAACGGAGCCTAGACATCAGTTAATTGCCTATAACAACACATTATTCCGACTAGTTTAGAGAAAAAAAAAAAACCCACAACAGCAGAATGGTCAGTGATCTCTCATCAAAGAAGGTAACCTCGGTCGCCTTCTTCCTCCCTTGGGAAAGAAGGTGACTGGTTGCCTCCTTCTTCGTCAGTGAATTGAGAGGCAATCAATGACCATTCTTAGGATTTTAGTCATCTAAAATCCTAGTGACTTTTAATATAAGTCATTAATCAATTTTTAGACTCTGATACATTAAAATGACATGTTAAATGTGTTTAATTGTCACAAAGTTAGAATCAAATTGACTTTTTATATAACATTTTTCTCAAAATGCAAATATCATGACAGAATTTTTCTTCCTTTGTAAATATGGTCCACTCAGTCATTAATAGGATTGAAGTGATTGGATGTATGAACAAGATTTGGTCCACCATAGGGGCCCTTAAATATGGTGGGACCTGTATCCATAATTCCCCAACATCCCTATTATATACAATATGGAGGAGACTCTTCTGCTTTTGTTTAACAATAGCCATGGGAACTCTATAACATACTCCCATGTTGCCCTGCACATGGATAGAGCCCACATCAAGGACAAACATTTTGGCCTAACTACCCTTCAAGTCAAATATGGCTTTCCAAAACTCAACACTTTGAGTCAGTTGATAAGTAAGTTGTTAATCCAATTATAATAAATGTAATACCGAAATCGATCCTTGTATGTATTACATTCATTTTATAATCTTATTCATATTCCTTCTGTTTCCATTCTGCAAATCAAACGTCACGTGGTCACAAAGTGTTTATTATAGTGTCTACTTTGACTAAACTATATAGCAATCTAAATTGGGCTAACAGGTTTTAATGCCATATGCTAACATGGTAAACAAGCATGAATTCCAAGGAACAACTGAATGCATGAGGTAGTTCAACCCCAAAACAGTTGACAAGTCATTTTCATCCACAAATTCCCTTCTCACAAGTCAAAACTGACAACTATTCTTCTCCTCTGCATCCGCAGCTTTGCCTGACCAAAAATATATTATCAATGTTTATTTTTTAGTGACGAGAGAAATCTGCAGTCACTAATCGAAGGTGTGGATAGATAACACCCGCCTTGTAATCATAGCTGGTAAAAGACCACAAAGAGGTAATCCAGCTTAGGTTGTCCATAACTGATCATTTTAAACCAAAAAGACTAATAGGGCAGCTCCCAGTGAGAGTCAAACTTGTAACCTAATGGTTACCAAGTCAATAGTTTGTCCAACTTGGTTAGGTTGCCCCTCAAAAATCAATGTTTATATTACATATAGAGAGGGGGTCAAGAGAGGCAAGATTTTTCTCATTTCGATGTTAGTTGTATTTTGTATCATCATATATATTGTACATGATTGAATTAAGTACAATCGGTGTCGATCGATTAACACAATAGAAGCTGAAGCTCCTTAATAAAAATATAATGGTTTAGAGAAAAATAATGTGTAATATATAGTGTGGCTACCTAACAGCAAATCTATGTGCAGTGAATCATTTTTGTATTACCATATATATTATAGATTATAGATAGCATCGTCCTAGATTTGCCTTGTGTCTGATTGATTGTTTTCCTTATATATATATATATATATATATATAAATGTATATAGAGTTTTATATTTAATGTGCAATACATGCAAACACACACATTTGGGTGGGGAAGAAGAATGGGTGAGGGAGTATTTATGAGCTCACGAGGTGGTCCAAGGCTGTCTGTGACTGTCATGGTTGCAATTTCTGGAGAAGAATGACATTCATTTCTTTGGATTTTCCACCAGATCCAACATCCTCAACTCAACTTCCCATTTCTTTTTCCTAGCTTTTTGTTCCTATAATTTTGGTGAAGAGAGATTAGTATATATAATGTGGATCATCATCGGTCTCAATGACTTACAATAACATTTATAGATCTCACTCAGCTAAGGAGACCATTGACAATATAAAAAACTAATAGCGTCATTTTTTTGAATGACAAAAGAAACTTACAGTCACCATTCGAGGGTAAACCCTGTCTTGTCACCCTAGCCGACAAAGGATCACAAGAAAGTAAATCAACCTAGGTTATCCATATATAATTGACCGGAAGCATTATCCTTTACTAAACATACAAGAGCACATTCAACAAGAGGATGCAAGAAATCAAAGGATGTAAATAAAACATATATTTTACTGAAAAGTCCAAGAACAGTAGTGTGCCAATAGACAGCCCATATGATCTCCCATGCAGGAAAACAACAAGTTTGAACAAAATCTCAGTATCTGGCTTAATGAACGTAACACACAGAGCTGATATATATGTTTCATCATCATCAAGTTGGGCCGTGCAAGAATCGTGTTTGAGTTTTGCAGTTGCGCTGGGGTACTTACAGATAGCGACATGGAAGGAAGCCACAGTTGTATTGATGTCCTTTTCCACTGGAACTTCATAGTTCCTTCTAACCCTGCAGCCTATTACTTAGACATCACTATTACCGAGAGAAGAATACACATGGGCTGGCTGGTCACCAACAATGCCCATCCCTTCCTGCTCACATACACCCTACCATTCACCTCTTAATGCCCACAACATTTACATGGTGGGCACTTGCTTAAATTCTGATTCTTGAATGCAAACTTGGAGGGTCAAGTCTAATATCTCAACGTTTGATCAAACAAGCAATATAATTTCAGCATGGAGGGGCAAGTCTAGTATCTCAGCATTTGATCTAGCACGCAGTATGGAGCAATCAAAATTGGATGTTATTGGATTGTTTTGATGACCTTCTTAGTTGGCATTATCATGTTTCATTGGAATTTATGGTTTTGGATCTAGCAATAATCCTCAATGGCAAACCCATTGCTAGAATTTGTTTTTAGATGAGTTGATATCATGATACAGAAACATAAGCATTATTGTATCTCCTTCATGTTATCAGATTTTATTGCCACAGAAGTACAGAACACATTCATGGAGTGGTGGGGAAGGTATTGCGAAATTATAGGCAATTCATTTGCTTCACCCTTGTCTCTAAGTTTATGAAACATTGAAACACCAATGTCACAAGTATGCTTAGAAAGTCAAATGTTATTCAATGGACTATTTTGTAGCAAGGATTCAAAGTGTTTTGAAATGATCATATCAGCCTATCAGGAGTGAAATACAAGGATGGAATTGTGACAGAGAGACTGATGTATTCCCATTCATATACGATCAAGAACATCATGTGGAAAGTAAGATAACTCACTCTGATCAATGTTCAGATAAGAATACCATTAGATCTTCAAAGATTCAGCATTGTCTTCAGTTTTCAGCCATTATCGAATTCCAACTCAGCAGAGAAGGCAGTTTGCTGAATGAATGCAGAGATTAACAATTAAAGCACTTGACTACTTGTTCGTTTTAAGAACTCAGATTATCGAGGGGCAGCATAATCCAGGAAGGGAATCGGGTGCATCTGGAACCATGAATTGTCAAGATTTGCAGTTCCGGAGATGGGTTTAGAGCTTCCATCACATCTATCCTCACCTCACCATCCCGAATGAAATTAAAACACATTTCTTTGAGGTGCTTCTTGTTTCTCAATTCTACATTCTCTGCTTCCTCCATATTTGCAGCATTGCCAAGTCCATGCATCACCCAAGAACAGTAAACAATCTTTAGCCACGAACCGCATGGATTACCAAACATCTCATTATTGCAGACTCAAACCCCAGCCTAAAACTCACTTGTCTACCAGAGTTCGAAACTTCACGCGTTTTTTAATGCTACCCATCCTATCATATCCAATGCCAATCTTACTATGCATCAGTTTTATTGCTAAATCCGCATTCCCTGCTTTCCTTAGAGCATTTATCAAAACTGTACGAACTCTACCTGGAATTTCTCGACCACGATCAACAATTCCATCAGCTAACTTGCAAGCCTCTACAATACGGCCAGCCTTGCACAAAACATTGATCATATCTTCGAAAGCAGTCTCTAGGACAATACCCATTGGTGCCAGCTCATCCAAGATCTTACAAGCTCTTGCCACCTTGCCTGAAAGACAAAGTCCAGTAGAAAGAGCTCTAAATGAAGCAGCTGTTGGAGTTATACCCTTATCAATCATCACATTCCACAATTTTAATGCATCTTCATTTCGGTGATCTTTAAACAAACCACTGATTAATATTGTATATGTATACACAGTCTGATCACACCCTTCTTGTTCCATTCTGTTGAAAAGCATTATGGCTTCATCACTCTTTCCACTTTTAACTAAGGCATCTATTAGTGCATTATAACAATAAGAATCACGAGGACACCCCTTCTCAGCCATCTCCTCAAAGAGCTTTTCAGCCTCATCTACTCTCCCTGCCTTGCCAAGGCCATCAATTAAACTAGAATAAATCATGCCATTTATAGCTTTATTATTTTTTTGACAGTATTCAAGCCACTGTAAGGCCTCTCCCAATCTCCCACACTTGGACAAACCGTTTACAATAACCCCGTATGTAACTTCATCAGGTTCAAGCCCTTCGTCCTTCATTTTGTCAAAAAGCCTCATAGCTGCTTCCAAGTTTGAATTCTTCATGTATGAATCAATCAAGGAAGTATAAATTGCAGCATTAGGTCTACAACCCTTCCTCACCATACTTTCAAAAACAGCATATGCTTCCAAAGACTTACCATCTCTACAAAGTCCTCCAATTACTAAACTATAAGCATGCGATGGAACATCCAACTCATTTTCCACCATTTCATGATAAAGTCCAAGACAGGAGTCAAAATCACCCTCTGAATAGCATGCCTGGATGAGGGTCATATGAGTAATCTTATCAGGTCCCACGTTTCTGACCTCCATATCTCTAAACTTCTCCATTGCTTTCTGAATCTTCCCAATCTTGCAATACCCTTTGATCATTGTATTATATGAAACAATATCTGGTGGAGATTTCCCACTTTCCATAACCTCAAACACTTGCTCAGCAGACTCAATAAACATAGAATTCACTAAACCATTAAGCAGAAAATTATAAGTATACAAAGTAGGTTGAATCCCACTCTCTTTCATACATCGCCACACCCACAACAACTCCTCAACCATCCCCACACTTCCAAGACTCCTAACCAAAGAATTAGCTCCCACTAAGTTCATCATAAAATCCCTATCTTTTAACTCCCTAAAAATATCCCTAAGTCTATTTACATCATTACAAGCAGACAAAATTGCTATCAAAGACACATAGCATTCAAAATTATGAGCATACCCCCTTTGCTTACCAGCCCAAGTGAAAAACCGATAAGCAGTATCAGAATTTTCAGAAAGCTGGCCTGACTTCAAGACAAATGCAACAAAACTGGGTGATAACTTGATAAGAAATTTTTTGCAGTAAGTTTTCAAGTTTTCCTCCATGGTGGGTGAATTATCCAAAAGACTCAAAATTTGGGAGACCCATGGAGACGGTTGGAGGTTCTTGTGGTCGGTAATAATATCAGAGAGGTCCGTGAAAGGTTGCACCCATTCTGGTGGAGGGAGCTTTGTGGCGGTAAATACCCATTTTGGGATGGAAGCGAAATGAGAATCCGGGTAGGGTTTCGAGAAATGTGCAGTGAGGAAAGCAGGAAATTTGGATTTCCCATAGCTGTATTTGACGATTGCAGAAATGGTACGAAGGGGTTTTGTTAGGGTTTTTCTCATACTGACGATTGGCGCTGAAATTGCAGTACTACTTCACTATCCGTCCCAAGAGAAAACAAAAAACCTCAATCTTTCCAATTCAATTCTACTTTATACAATTATATATCCCTGCATATGACGTTTATGTATTTATTATATGCACATGTGCGAATGGAGAGATTGGGGCTTATTTGAGTAAATTAGGGCTTGTAGAGTGAAAGGAATCACACAGCCATACATGGATTCGGGTTGTTTTTTCTTTTTTACCTGCTTAAGGATCGGAGATTTGGAACCTTTCTGATAGTTACACGTGCTTTAACAATTTAAACTACAAATTTAAAGTGAATCTTAAAATATACATGTTATATGTAACATACATGCAAGACATTATATGTATAACACTACCCTAAAAGGGATGTGATCGGTGGGTGAAGCATAATTCTCATATTAAAAGGTATAAGTTCAATTATTATCAACACCCTTTTAGTCCAGACTTTCACATAAGCTCTTCTTAATATGGTTTACGTCTCTTGCGTGATTTGCAGAATTGTAGGGTCTTCATGCATGCCTATGGCACCCAATAGGCCAATATTCACAGTATTGTAAGCCTAATTTGGATTCGATCCAGACCGCACCCGCGTGGTTTGGATCAATCAAAACCATGCAAGCTAAGGTTCTGTGTGGTGGGAGCTAACATGCCCTAAAGTTTAAATCATTGGCATGGAGGGTCTTCCTGGAAATACTGTGACATGCATAAATTTACATTATGATATGCAATTGTTTGCATAACAACAATATCCTCAGACTGAGCATGCCCAGAAGTCTGCATTACAGCAAAGGCCAAAAGGTCATATTTGATGGTTTTTGGTACAAACTGCTGTGGCCTGGCATTGTTCTTTATCAAAATTATGTCCTCAATCACTGCTCAAGCATTCGATCGATTTCACCATTCTGGTTATACATGGAAACGATTCGCTTTGCATACGATGGCATGTGCAGTTCAGCTCTGCATTCATCAAAATCCCAATTGTCAAAAACAGATGGAAATTTTCACCCCCCACCAATATTGCATACACTCCATGTTTAATTCTTCATACCTTTCTCTTCCCCAAGCACGGATGACATACAGATAGTTTCTTATGCTGTGGTAATCCAACGAATACCGGGCAAATTCTAGACCCTTTGGGCCAACCTGAAGCCAAATGGAACTGTTACAAGAGGAATTAAACGTAACTCGTGGGCATAACGATGTATGACAAGATCCTTACGAGGTTTAAGATGAATGCTATCAAGTTGCCAACGAACATTGGGGCAGGCTTAGCAGGACCTCTTCCTGGAACAATTATTGAAGAAAGTGTGAAATTGGATTTGAACTCAGCTTTTGTTGGGCGGAGGCCCGTGAAGGGCCAAGTCCAACACCAGTGGCTAGGGGGATTGTTGGGTGGAGGCCTAAAGAGCCAAGTCATCACCCTACCTCTCGAAAACGTGAAGGTCTAGCTATAGCTTTTAGCGTAGTGGTAAGCACTTGATCCTAACAGCTTTCATATGTGTAGTATTTTTGAGTACTACTGACTTTGTTACAATGCAGTATATGTGTAAGTTATGAAAAAATACATACCCAACTTGGCATTGTCATCTGCCTTCACTGTTTCCGTTACAAATGGCCTCCTGTCACCCTGACATAAGTAAGTTTGTTAATGGCCGCTACGATAAACAGTTTAGGCAACTTTACTAGATGGATCATCATGTATTACACTGCTAATCGTAGGAGTCACTTCCAAAAGATGCTCCACAAGGCTAAGCATTTCTTTTCCACGCTCATTTCTGTGTTTGGGATGGGAAAAAGTCGTAGCAAAATATTTTGTAAGAATACTTGATTACAGGAATTAAAACTACAAATATCTTGTATAACTGGAACTATTTTACCTGACAGTAACGTACTGTGGGTGTTGTGTCATGCTAATTCCAGCATATTTTGGCACACCCATATAGCCGACCACCAAATCCTGGAAAGCTTATTAAAGATCATATTTATTTCATACAAATATAAGGAGCAAACCCTTTGATTAAGTGGAGAAAACTCACCGCTAAGGCATTTGTGTAGTCAAAACAGCTGTAATCCAGAGAAAGGAGACAACAAAAATACGTTAACTATACAGTTCCAATTTAGTAATTGATTAAAAAAAAAAGTGAAAGAACGCCAACAATTTGATGACTGACATTTTGCCAATTTGTGAAAGTAAAAGAAAAATCAAGTGCAATATACCTGTAACAGGATGGTGCAATAACATCAACTAACTCATTTGCTGGTAAACAGAAATAGGGAACCTGCTTTAGTAAAGTATAAAGTTGAATAAAACAGCATTATAGCAAACCATAAATGATTTACAAATGTTGGAACCATGTCACCTCTTCAATGCGCCCATCCAAATGTTTCAGGTGGACCTGTCAAAATATTGGATTTAGAGTTCAAACAACTATCAACGGGTTCTTTATATTGAAACCAAGAGCCACAAATTATCACGTTCTCAAATCTCAACTAAGTGGGTAATTCATCAATGCTTAGCACTTAATTTATAAATCCATAATTCAAAGTTAGCAGGAGTTCAATTATTTTGTGTGCGCGAGTTTATTTATTAATAGAAGATTGAGCAAGAGTACTTGAGATAATGCAAACTACCCCGATTTCATACCTTGTAGTCTTGCATAAACTCATAATGAAGAACGGTATCCGGTTCATCACTAGCAGCCTTTAAGAACTTATCGAGCCCTTCTCGCGTTCCATTATCCACTATCAAGAAAAAGTTGCTTAATTATAGTCGATCTTAGATGTTTTAGTATTTAACGAAACAAGATGTAGACAATTGTTGCTTGATGGAAAAACTTCAACCCCATTATCAAACAACAACGAAATGGAGCCATAAGAAATATTCCTTCTTTGTGTGTACTAATCAAATCATCATGGAAGCTTATTAACAGTAAGTACTCACATGAACAGATACTGCATTGTAACAGAGTCAATAGTACTAAAAAAAAAAACAGTAAGTACTCACCACAATTAGTGCCTAAAACATAAAGTTTTTCCAAACCCAAATAGTGCTCGACCGATCTTAAAGCTGCAGATCAGGAAATTACTCTGCATTATGATAAAGTACAAGTCATGAAAAGGAGAAAACCTAAAAGCGGCGAATGCAAAGCATAATTACAATCAAACCTTGTACTTGGCAACCAACACCACAAAACAGAAGTCGCTTCACACCAGCAGCCTGTGAACAGGAAGACAATACTATGCACAATATTAACAAGCCAAGAAGAGAAAGAAAGTAGTGGCATACTAAGAGAAAAGTGACGGGAAACACCTCAACTAAAGCAAGAGTATTCAAATTAGGAGACAGTGTTGGCTTGACGCCTTTAGCTGCTAGTACTTCCTCTGGTGTCCTATTTGAGACATGAACCAACACTAATGATATCGAGTAATCATAATTATAAGATGCATTGAAGGTTGAAACCATTTAGCATTTCGGATCTGTCACCTCGCTAAGACAGGTCGAGGAGCAAATCTATCTTCCGGATCACTAGGAAAAATAAAGAAGACTACATGAGACTCACATATAATGAACAGGAAATTCCTTCAACCATGAATGAAGAGAGAAATATATTAAACTTTTACAAAGTTGAATAAGCGATACCTCTGCACACATATAACAGCTTCCACCATACCAGTTTTCAGCATCTCTATTGCGATTGTTGTCACTATGCCTGTCCATTGAGCTCCTGTATTACACAAAATATTCAAGCCACAAAGTGAATATAGTATCTTCACAGGTAAAATTCAAGAATGTTCCAGGAATTACTTTAGAATTCGAATAACTAATTCCAGATTTGCACTATATGGTATAACATTTTAACGAACCATCAGACAGAAAAGTTCACCTTCCAAAGGCTTAGTTTTGCGAGCATACAATAATTCCTCATGGACACCCATATAAGTCTCATCCAATGAATCAACTTTCCTTCCTCTGCCATGTACAACAGGTTCCAAGGCCTGAAAAGTGAAACAGAATTACAGAACGAAAATGGGGTCTGCCTTATATGGCACATAACGGTATAAAGCTAGCAGGTTTGACTTGATATAAAGCTTAAAAAGCAGGCAGTTGGTAATTTTAGCTTCTTTAACTGTAGAGACAGGAAAAGGAATATTTGGGCAAATTTCTTCTCTTCCCATAATCTCTCCACTCAATCAAAGTGGCCTCACTCTATATATGATTACACAGAAAATATGCAAAATGCTTTTGGACAAAGATTTCTTAAAATGAATCCCAGAAGCAATAAAATCAGAGAGAAACTCACCTCAATTCTAGACATGCCATCCCCCAAGAAAGCACAAGCATTTTTAACATGGGCTATGTAATAAGTATCACACAACCCGCAATGGCTGCCAATCAACCAATAAAATTTCACCAAATTGAAAACACATTAACAAAGTCAAGAACTACAAGAAATTGGAAAGTTAACAAAAATGGCAGAAAGGGTGAGCGAAGGAAAAACCTGCAGTGGTCCTTAGCTGGGTAGGTCCCACCAGGAGGAATGGGTTTGGATTTCTGCCTCCAATCTTCTCTGAGCTTCAATGGTTTTGGGTTTGTGTTTGCTTCTGTTTAACAGTACAATCAGAAGAAACGCATACTATACTATATGTTCAAGAAAGTTGATGTATGAATAAGAAGCATATTAGAGAGAGGAACCTTTAGATGCAGAGACAATAGAGAAGGTGAAAGGCGAAGGAGAGAGCTTTGCACTGAGAAGAGCCATGGCTTCCACATCAACTGCCAACTGAGAGTTTCACTGTCTTCCAGAATTGTTTTGCGCCACAAAATTAATTTGCCAAATATCTATGATGACACGTCACAACGTCTGTAGAATAAGCACCTTTTAACGACGTCGTTTTTATTGTTGAACTTTCTTATGAATGTTGATTTACAAATTGTCCCTTCTTTGAGTTCTTTCTTTCCCTCTTGTCATTATGCACGCAAATAAATATCATGTTCATTTTAATATTTATTGATTTATTATAATCTATGAATCAAAATTTATTACTCTTTTTTAAATTAAATATACATGACGTAATATTGTCCCCCAAATATAAGTTCGTTAATCAACCTATCGAAAATTACTAGTAATCTGTACTTAATTCTCTTTTAAATAAAATTTTAGAGTAAAGGTCAAATAAATCGTCCAAGTATATACTAAAGTGCAATTAGATCCACAAATTTAAAAAAAAAAAAAAAAAAAAAAAAAAAAAAAAAAAAAAACATCAAATTATACCATCAAACTTATTAAAATATACCTATTTAACGGGTTACTAAAAGGTAATCAGTCAATTTTGTTTAGATGACATCTTGCATGAAATCTTATTAAAAAAAATAAAAAAATACCGTCCATATTGAACGGAGAACTGGAGAAACTTGCCAGGTTTCTTCGTCCATGGAAGCTTAGCTGCAATGGCGAGCTTCTACATCCAAATTGGACGGAGAAGTCTACTAGACTTCTTTATAAGTTAATAACCAAAATGGTCCCTCGACTATGCCGTAATTACCAATTTGGTCCTCGACTATTATTCTTACCCAATTAAGTCCTAAACTATGTAATTTTTATCCAATTTAGTCCTCTGTTAAGTTGACGGTCAACAGTGGGGATAAAATTGTAATTTTACGAGCTTTCTCTTCCTCCCCATTTAGCAACGTCAAATCATGCAGCAATACGCTCCGATCGGCTTGCGACCTTTAAAAAATCACTGAAAATCAAATCCTTGGGCTCTCCGATGCGCAACCACTGCTTCAACACTGACAGGTTTGGAAGCCGATCGAAACTTATTGCTGCATGGTTTGGGAGGAGGAAGGAGAAAGCTTGTAAAATTACAACTTTATCTCCAATTTTGACAGTCAACAAACAGTCAAATTAACAAAGAACTAAATTGGGTAAAAATTGAATAGTTGAAGACTTAATTGGGTAAGAATAATAGTCGAGGATCAAATTAGTAATTACGACATAGTCAAGGGACCATTTTAGTTATTAACTCCTTTATTTAATATAATTACTTTTTTTATAGAAAATATAATTTTTTTAAAAAAATATTAATCTACGTGACAAGTGACTTGAAACAACATGCTATTATAGATTAAATAAGGAGGTTTTTTAAATCGATGGTCTAATTACACTTTGGTATATAGTTAGCGAGCCTATATTAAAGTCCTTAAATAGAATAATATACACATTTGAACTCTCTCTCAAGAACACAAATTCGACTCAGTATTAACATGATACACACCCCAAACATATATATATATATATATATATATATATATATATATATATATAGGCTTCGGATCCGGTGAGATCCTCTAGATAGATGAGATCATGAGATCTCATCTTATCCATTAATTAAATTCCAATGGATGGATGGGATTGAAAGTCTAATCCTAATTAAATAAGGCTAGATTTTAACTAGAAGGGTGGAAGAGTAATTATAATATGGTGTTTAATTTTGATTATAATTAAAATACAATCTTACCATAATATTAGGGATCATATCAATAGTAAGAATTAATTATATTTTGTGTTCAAAGATTCAAACATAGTATCGATGGTGTAATATAAATTCTACAGAGCTTGAGAATGACATCTAAAATCGCGGGTAAGTGCGTCTTTAATTTTAATTTAGGTAAATACTACGTAGGTCTGTGCATTGTTGTGTAACGGCGTGTGCAAATTTGCAGACGATACATTTTTTTTGAGTAGGGTGGGTGCATTTATGGTGATAGGCGTGTGTTTTTTTTTTTTTTTAATTATTTTTGGTTCTAAAAAATTTCGTAGGTTCTTGTGTGTGCAATTGTGGCGAACGACGTGTGCAATTTGCTGGCAAGGAGACTCTTCTACATGGTTTTTTTTTTTATTTTTGTTTTTTGACGGTGGTGGGTGCAGTTATGTGGAAAGGCGTTTGCAAATTGTTTATAATGGTATGACCCATAATAGTGAAACATAATGTTATCAGATCAGTATGCATACAACAATTTATATCGAGATCTCCATCTTAGCAGTAAACACTTTGGTAAACATATGAATTGACATTTGCTAATCATGTTCCTCATATGTCGTGATTAGGGTGTGTGCATTTATGGTGATTGGTGTATTTTTTAAAAAAATTTATTTTGGTTCTAAAACATTTCGTAGGTTCTTATATGTGCAATTGTGCAAATTGGCGTGTGTGCATTTACGGTAGCAGGTTGATGCATAGTAGTGAGCGTGGTGTTATTTGCTAAGTAGTGTGTATTTCACATCTACTAGGCGTGTGCGCACATGGCCGTAGGTGTATGCGTTATACTGACTAGTGTGTGCATCGGCATGTAACGGAGCGTGCAGTTTAAAAGGCGAAGGACGGTAATGACCATGTAGAGAGAACAAGTTTGTTAAATAACTTGGCCACATGTTGTTCCGGGACCACCTACAAGCTAAACACTTCACCAATCTTTAAAAAAGAAAAGGTCCATATAGTTAATAATGAAAAAATATTATTTGTCTTTCTTGTGTGCATTCTAAGAAAAGAATTTAAGCTCACCAAGCAACAAACAACATAGGCATGCGCATAAAAAATAGAAAAAGTACAATACCACTTAGCAACTGAGAAAGAAAATAATTGATTTTAAATAGAAACATGAATGTTAATGCATCTGGCTTAAAAACACAAACGTCTTCTCCAAAATCAAAGGACAATGGTGATCATGGAAGTATATATAGCAAAAGCATTGCATATAACCTAAATCCCTATAACATGATAATATTACCCATTTGTGGGAGACACTTATTTCTCTTGCTTTTTCAAAAAAAAAAAAAATAATAACAGATTCCTCAAGCTTTCCCAGATGAAAGTAGGATTTGACAGTTACTAAACAACGCCAAAACCTATGTGAATCACTCCTCTGTTTGGTAGAAGCACCCAAGTTTGCTGGCTCAGAATCTGAAGTGGAAGTGTAACTCACCACAAGTAAATGTCTGCTCACATAGCTGAATTGCTTCTTTGTATGCAGCTGTGAATTATCATTGCAGTTAAGCTAAAACATAGAAAATGAGAGACGTTTTCGTCAATTACTTGCCTATAAAAATTTAAGTTATCAAGTCTTATTTCTCAGGAATACAAACCATAAGAAGAGCACATGCTTTCATTTCAAGTAACTTCTCTGAGTAAGGGCTTATCATCAAAGCATCAGCTACAACAGCCAAGGCACACTATGCATCATTGGTTGTTCTTCTTTCTAAGAGCTCTGCCAGATTGCTTTTCATGTAATTTGAAAATTTCTTGCACCTAAGGGAAACCAAAATTCAGCTTTCATTTCCTTAGCAATTATACGTAAAAAAAAAAAAAAAAAGGTATCAAATTCAGGTGTGCCAATGAAACATCTACAAAAGGAAATCCTCTCAACTAAACCACCAAATTAAAGCAAAATATCAACTAAGTGAACCAGACACCAATCACCAGGAAGGCGGAAACACGATACTGCCCCACCACTTCCTAAACCTCACGTGGACCACACACAACACCCATACAATAATAAAGTCATAAAAAAAAAGGGGACTGAAACCATTCACCAGCAATCACCGCCATACCGGAGCACCAAGAACGCCAGCACAATCTCCCAGCACCCACACACAATGAACCCCCCTCCCCAGCCGAACCCAACTGGAAATACCGACGCCAAAGGCATCAAACGCACAAAAAGAAGGGGAAAAAAACGATTTCCACCCCCGAGCCGGACAGAACCCGAAAATAATAATAATAATCAACGCAACACACACACCTCCCTTGCCAAACCCTATCCACCCACCACCAATCATCCCCAGCAAAAACCCCCAATCCCCCCCCCCCCCCTAAACCGGTCAAAACCACGGTCATGCACAGACCTTGCAGGTCGGAAAATGACATTACCCGGGAAAAAAAAAAAAAAAAAAAACTAGCAATGCACCAGATGGAGTACACACCCAAAAATAAACCCCAACCCCGGAACCTAACAGACCAAAACCCCCGACATTGGACTTGTCGCCGTAGACATGCAACATCAGCACAAGAAAAAAATAAGCAAAGAAACACCAAACACATAACCGCGGCTACCGGAATACCTGGAATGCAACCGGAAGCCCCCCCCCCCCCCCCCTCTGACGCTTGGTCTGCCGGTTGGTAGAACCCGCCATGACGACTGCGTGAACGGCACGAGGAAAGCAGGCCGGCGTCAACGCTTGATTATAGAGCACATACTGAGAAGAATCGCACCGGAGAGAAGATCGCACGAGTCGGGCAGGCTTTCGAGAAGACGAAACGGAAACCTCAAAGAAAAGAAGGGGAAGAGACGGGAATTAAAAAATACAAATCATAAAATCTTATTTAACCATAATTAACCTGCCCAAGCCCACAAAATCCGGTAGTAATTATTGCAGTCTAATAAAAATACAAAGAAAAAGACATCCTTGCCCCTAAATCTACAAATTAAGCAGCGCATGCGGTAATTAGTTAGAATAGATCCAGGACGTCCAAAGATGCAAATAAACGTACAAGATTGAGCCTCACCACCTGACCTGCCAATGCTAACCTCACCGGATCCAAAATCTATATATATATATATATATATATATATATATCAACCTTACTAGGTTATTGGCTGATATGCTGTCAAAAGCATAAAATTTGATTCTTCATCAATTGAAAATACATGGGCAAAAAAAATTTTAAAAAAAATGGTTCCTCGTATATATGTATTTGGGGTTTGAATACTTGGCCCCAATTTAGCAACAATACTTGTGCAATCTGAGAACACTTTGCTCAGAGTGTCCAATTACTTGTAGTATTAACTTAATAACTTCAATGCCATTTTGCCTCTCTCCATCTTTTTCTTGTGTTTTCACCCAAACCTTAAACCTAGCTTGCTTCTGCATTCACATGCTTCAGTTCTCCAGGCCACTATCACCATTGTGGGAAATTTGGGAAATAACAAAAAACACATCAATTTGTTGCAAATGAAAAGATAACAAATCTTCTTTCCTTGATTCAAGAAATAAATTGTCGCCTATAGTACATTTTAACACGCTGCATCTGTAATCACTCAACTCTTTGAATCCAATTTATATCCCGCATTCCCACAGCTTTCTTCATGTATCCAAATGAAATGCACAACTGAGGTGCTGCGGCCTTTATTGCCAAGGAATCATTTTCTCATCTTCCAATGTGACTTTGGAAAGAACTTCCGGGGAAAAAGAATGAGCTGTTGTATGGATCACTGCTAATTACAAACTTTAGACTCCAGCTGCCTACCAAAAATTACAGGGTTGAGATGTCAGGGAGGAGCAAAAACTCATTTCGACAAGGAGCTTTAATGAAACCTTGGTGAAAACTAAAGAAGCTTGCTGGTTCTTCGTTTTGATGGCCCTCCAGGAAATAGCTTCATGATCCATCCCAATACCCTTTCAACCACCTGATTAAAGAGGATATCAGAAACCAAATTCAGAAAGGCTAGTAGTGTACAAGCTTGGGAAAGAATTGGCGCTACAACAATGTTATAACACTAGATAGATGGGATAGGTACAACATATGTTACCTCATCACCCTCATCGGCGTATGTGGTGTTCTCATGGAAAGGCCTATCTGGTTGTCTCACTGGAATATTATCAGCTGCCATGCTTTGAGCAGTCAAAAGCTCCAACCTTTGTGTTTGAGCTTCAAGCTTTCTGGTTAACTCCTTGTTTAACTCCTATATCCAGAAAAATATATATATATATAAAATCCATAGAAGATTGTGCAGAGAATTGAACTAAAAACACAACCAAATGGGAAACTGAATCAAAATTACCTTGAGTTTAGAGCATTCAGATGATTCTGCAGAGAAGGCTTTCATCAACTCTGTTTTCTCCAATGATAACTGTAAAGGAAAATTTGAAAAAATGAGTTGTTTATGTTATTTATTAGGAAGTGGTGATAAAAGTATTTTGGAATGTAAAAAAGCAACCTTAATAAAAGCGAGGGGGAAGAAAGAACAACAAAATAGAAATGATGGGAAAAATCAACCTCAGAGATTAATGTGTTAATATTTTGGATCATTCTTATTTGATCAGGAGGAATGGTCAATGCTGATCCTTCAAATCTGAGCTGTCCACCGTCAAGCAGATGAGGAAAGTCGGAGGACTCGGTACTAGTAGCAGTAGTCTGAGCTCCGGGGTTTGGATCATCCACTGAAGTGACCAAACCTTCATTGTCATCTGAATTCACAAATCAAAAGATTTAGAACTATGGATACAGATTAAACAGGTCATTCTGGACTCTGGAGCCATAAAGCAGTTTATAACACTCCAGTATGTAATGACATTTAAAATTGCATACCAAGATCCTCTGTTGACGTTGAGACATCTATTTTATTAGGTGAAGTCCTGCTAGTATCACCAAACATGCCACCAGTAGAAGCTTTTCGTAGTTTTGACAGCAATAGCTTCTTCTCTGCACAAGAATTTAGGAAGGATACAGTCATTGAATGAAAATACACAAGCTTTTTAAAGATACACAATATGTTTAGAGGGTCCAGGGTGGAAAGCGGTACATCCCAGATCATTCTGAATTAACCAATTTCAATACTACAAATAAGCAAAAGATACACTGCTTATAAATTACAATAGAAGTCATAGCGGAATTTTCATCAGGTTATTTTGATTACAAACTTCTTCAAGCTGCTTAGAGATCTACTTCACTGAACTGTGGAACTCTTCTTTTTACAAACTGTGGAACTCTTCTAAAACAGGTAATATATAATTCTGTACAACAATTTTCCTTCCAACGACAAATGAAAGTTTTTGAGATTGGACAGGACAAACAATGGTTAAATAAGACACTTGGAAAATTAATCCAATAATAGGTATCCAATCTCAAACCCACGTAGGTGACAAATACTTCTGACATTTTCCCAGATTGCGCAATGTCAAATTATATTTCATATGATAAAAGAGTATTCTTGTCTTCTTGATAATGGGTAGAACCAACAAGAACTCCTGGACTGCAATATGTCCTTTGGTAAGAATGAAAATAAAATATCAACACACAGACACATCACATATATTTGGCACTTGGTTGATTGCAAAAAACATTATTGGCTTTTCATCTCACAACTTGCAGACCCCACAGGACAATGAAAAATCAGTTTGCTTGTACCGACTCCTCCAGTAAGTAATAGGATTACATTCGTGTGAATAAGTGAATTAATTAAAGTGGATAATTGTAAAACTATTTTAGTTATCTTTGTATAGTTTAACCCTCATAAATAATATAAGCCTCATTTCTCTTAGCATCATGTTAAATAGTTATGTTCTAATGTAAATGAAACAGGTGCATAATCACAGTCAATAGATTACCTTCTTGTAATGCATCAACAGTTGATTGCAAATCTTGACGTTCTTTTTCAAGGCTAACGATTTTCTTTCTGGATGACCAAAACAAAAAAATTATAAAGATGACTTAGGTAAGACAGCATAAATAATAGGAAACCAGCCAAACTCTTGCATTCACCTAATACCTGCTTCATTATTTAACATTTTAATATAGGATGCATATTGTAAGTACCAGATGCAGATAGGGGTAGCACTGTTTGAAGAGAGAAGGAGAGGGAGAGGTGCAACCATGGCAGACAGGACTCACCGTCATCAGTCCTGTCGCACCTCAGATGAGAATCAACTTTAGAGAGAACATTTTGGTTAAATTTGTACTTACCAGTCACAAGACTAATAGCCTATAATCTTTCACTTTTCAAACAAGAAACTTTCTTTATAAGAATGGACTTTTTTTTTCGGGTACATTAACAGGGGAGCTAATGCTTATGGCTTGATTTCCCCTCTTACTCATGAATTATGGCATTTTAACCAAAATATTAGAATTAAATTATAATAATTACAGGCATGATACACTTCCTTGAAAATGCACAGAACCTCTCACCAATTTATCTTCAACAACATTCAATGGGACTACTGACACAGAACTATTTCCCATGATAGAGATAGCATCACAGCTTGTACAACTGGAAACAGTCTAAAAATCATATAATCCCCAACTCCCCCCCCCCCCCCCACCCCCCCTCTGGGGACAGAGCCAGCCCATTGAGGAAAGACCAAACCAAAAGTTGGAAACAAGTAAATTGAAGGAATGAACAAAATCAGATCAAAACAATGAAATGATAATTGAGAAATAAATACACACAGAGAGACAAGCTTTGACCATACTTGAAAGAAGAAACTTCAGCTTGTGTCTTTTCCAACTCCTTCTCCAATTTAAGTTCATTAGATCTCAGCCGAAGTGCCTACAAAAGCATTAAGATAACAACTCATGTTAGAGTAAGAAAAAAGAGCATTAATTACACAAGTACATATCCTATCCATACCTTAAAGAAAGAGAAAGAAGAAGAAAAAATGAATTAAGCAAAGGGGGACCTCAGGTAAAAGAAAAATCAATAGATATTATAATGACAAGTTCTAGAAATTTGATATGTGTGCATTTGGGGCATTGGAAGTAGGACAAATAAAGGGATTAGAGAAGGACAAAGGTGACAATAAATACTATAATATAAATCAAAGATATAAGTTACTAGGAGGTTAAGAAAATTCATTCTGGTCACTCGACAACACTAATGATGACTCCATGTCTAAGAAGTAAGAACATATCAATACAAAAGAAACAGAAAAGGTGGATTGTGAATAGTGTAAAAGATAGCAAGAAGCAGGCAGTTCAATGATCATTTCAACATTCATTCTTTACTCAAATTACAAAAACACAGATTCATATGGATATATATTCATTTTTCTGCACAGATTGTATCTTCTTGAATGAAAATTTAATATGTACAACCAAAGTTGTTTCGTAAAAATGGATAAGAATCAAATATTTAAGAAGTGGTAACACAAGAATATCACCTAAATTCTGCATTACTTGAAACTTTATGTTAAGTAAAGGAGGCAGAGAATACTAGAATTTTCTTTCAATACCTTCTCTTCCAAACCAATCACTTCAGATGCCAAAAGCTTCGAGCGTTCATCAGCAGCATTACATTCAAGCTGAACATTAGCATATTCGGCCTTCACAGCCTCAAGTTCAGCCTGTTTACATGGTTTGAAACAGAACTGAAAAATTACACTACCTCCAGGAGGCATAAATAATAAAGAAAGAACACTCAGCTAGAACAACTATTACAGAATACAAGTAAAAGCTTGATTCTTGATTAAGGCGGCTGAAAAGACTGACATAGGACTAAGAACTCACGATTTTCATAACATATGATAGACTCAGATATCAAGGTAATCAAAAAGGAAATATTGAAATGTGGTATACAATTAATGCACCAATTACTAGGGCCCATGATGACATTAATGAACTCCACAAGGTCAAATTATGAATTTTCAGACTATTAAATTTATAATGTGAGTTTTACTATGCATTTATATGGTTTATGTTTATTTCACAGAGATGTTACACTGATTGGTTGCTTAGATATGCTTTTATAGTTTTTTTTATCTAACCTTTAACTAGTATTTATTACTTTGTACAGAATCAAGCTACCCCAAATGCTTAAATTTGCAACTTCCTGCAGCATCATTAAATGGAAGTATATTTTGAATAGTTGTATCCATGAAATAGGCAACTCGTAGAACAATGGCATCAGTAGACTAGTGGAGCATTTCACAATATTATATTAAGTAGATAGGACAGCATACACTATCACAAAGAGTGAAAAGGAAAACATCACCAATACTCCATGATTAATGGAAAAATAGAAAAGATCAAGACAAACCAGATTTGCTTTAATCTCCCCCTGTAATGCCTCCATATCAGCTTTTAGCTGATTAACAACACCTCCCTGAAAAAGGAAGTGAGAGAGCACATTTTTCAAATCAAGGAACAGAACACTAAATACAATATATTAGTGTCTTAAAGGAAGTCAGTAGAAACTCTAGTACATTTACAAGTATATATATCAATACAAGGCAAAACTGTATGGAGATATTGATAGACCCCAAACAACAATAGCAATATTTTCTCTGTTTTCTCTCCCCTCCCATATTCTCTTTCCTAATCAAACTTACAAAAACTCCTCAAAAACCACAAAATATCTCCACTATTATGGATGCTCTAACTTTTTTCAAACCATACGGTATTAAAAAAAAAAAATTGTATAAATAAAACATCCGTACACATAACTGTACTATGGAAACTGGAAAGTACATAGACTGATAGGCATAACACCCCACGGCACCATTAAGTATAGTCCTGCCCTCCAACAACTATATATACAAATGTGAGAAAATAATTTCACCATTATAAGCAGGCAAGCAGTTATAAGCCCATTAAAACAGCATAGCCATACCTGTTGGTTATAACTATCTGTCAACGCTGAATTTTCAGCAGCTAAAGACTCTGCTAAAGCTCGTGAAGCCTCCAGAGAACGTTGCAAAGAGAATTTCTCTTGAGTTAAATCTTCTATATGCTGCATGAGAAAGAAAAGCAAACCTAAGAATGCTTGAACATTCATCCTTTTTTTTTTGTATAAAGGACACCAGGAGGGTATACCAAACAGGCAGAAAACAAAATTAAATAAAAACCAGAGTCAGAACACTGTACAGCTTAGAAAATGAGATAAGAAAATCTGCTAATCAGAGAGCATTGAGTGGTATGTTCCCTTGTTCCATTATATATCATCTGTTAATGAATGCTTGAAGGTTCATCTACTGAATATAGAATACAGACAAACCTCAAAATGACCCAAAAAATAATTGTTATTCTGCCACTCTTCATCCTAAAGTATTCTTGAGATATGAATAACATGACCACATACAATATGAAAGATGAAGATCACAAACAGTTCAGAAAATAGGTAATGTTAAATTTCAGAGCATGTATCATTTAAATGAAACACTTGCAAATATAAAAGATAATCTCCTGATGTGGCCAACAGAAACCCTTAAAATTTTTTACTATCATGTAGCAACAAGTGACTTCAGAAGAATTTTGGTTATGAAGATTCAATGACCATATGCAGAATAGAGGAAAACTTCCTTTTATTCTTTTATATTAGATAGGCCATGAAGAAGTATCTTAAGAGCAAAAAAAGCATATGTATAAGACCTGTTCTAGTGCAGCAAAGTCTTCATTTTGTTTTTGCGAATAAAAATCATGGTTGGTCTCCATAGATTTCGCAACAGCATATTTAAACGTGTCAGACCCATTACCAGAGACAGCTGTAGAATTCATAAGGCTCTCAGAATTAGAAGATCCCAAATTGTCCAATGGGTGAACCTTGGAACTAAATGTGTCAGTATTCACTGTTTCAATTGGAGGAGATGTAGCAGAAACTCTGGAAATGCTGATTGAATCAAGAAATGATGGGCGGGATCTCCTAGCACCAAATCCAGTTGTGGGAGGAGATACTTGTGCATAATTAGATGAACTTTGGCCATCAAAACTGAAACCATCAGATGTCAATGGAGTTGAGGTATTGGTCATGTAAGTAGCAGAGCCACTAAACTGGTTGTACCCAGTATCAGGAACAACAGGATAATTATGTTGCAAGGCAACATCTTTTTGTCCAACTTGTGAAGAAAAATCAGTCAGGCTGGCCACAGGTGACAGGGAGTCTATCATAAAACAGAAATATGTTGTAAGATCATGTACACCAAATACAAGTAAATGAATGGTTCATATAATAGAGGCGAGAGAAAATGTTACAAGAGATATAGATAAGAAATCTAAAGATAACCACTAAGTACCTTTATGCAAAGCAGACGTCAGACCACTAGCCCAACGATCAGTTAAACCTGTCTTCTCTAGCACATGAGTTCTCGCAGAATTCTCTGGAGAAATATTTCCTATATAAGAAGCACTAGAATTTACAGCTGCAAGATCCTTCGGAAAGATCTCATTGAACCTTGGTACGGTTTTGTGCAAACCATCATAATCAGAATTACTGGTAACTCTACCGCTATTTGAAAAAGGAGGCAGCAAAGTGTTGTCTGCAGAATGATCAGAAGCAATCTCAAAGGCAAAACTTCCCACATCTCTATCATTTTCACCCTTTTTTTGGGAATGATTACTATCATTTTCTGGCATTGAAAGTTTTGAAATATCATTGCCATAATGGACCTCTGAGGTGTTAAACTCAACATCAAAATTATTTGCAGCAAATGTTGAACCAGCACTTGCATAATTTGAAGAACCAAAGTTGGTCTTCCGCACGATATCATTTTCCTGGAAATCATATTTTTTATCTACTCCAGAAAGCTCTGAAGCAGGTGTGGCTACAGCATTGGATGTGCCAGCCCTGTCAGAATCTGGTCGTATACGTTCAGTATCTAGAGTTTGTCTCTCTAAACCCCCATCAGATGCATGGATTTGATTAGTTGATGTTGTCTTTTTAGCCCGATCTGCTGCTCTCTTCTTACGAAACTCCTCTAGCTGTAATGACAACAACAATGCATTAACATAATGATATGAATAATATCACGCAATAGAGAATGGTTCACAACTTAAGAAAAGAATTACAAGGGGATGCAGATAATAATAGAGAGTGGGGACTCCAGTGAAGTCTAACCAAGAAAGGATAACAGAAATTTAAGTGCAAACACAATTGTCCAAAAAGAAATGTGAAAACTTAAAGCAAGTGCATTCATTTATCAAATGTAAGAAGTTCTTCGAATCAACATATTCAAAATTGGCAAGCAGAGATTCAGAAACTACCACATAGAAGTCTCATCAAACAACATTAAACTTATAATAGGCAATCTGTACACTTGTACTAATTCTCACTCCAGAGGCAAGACTTAGAAAATGATCCACATCTAGGAATGAGATGGCTGAGCCAAGGGGCTGTGAGCACTGATTGAACTTTGTTTGTAACAGCATAGATGAATAGATGATTGAAGATAATGACAAACCAAAGCTACTTAACTTACTGGTAACCATCTTATGATTTGCTCACCACCTTACCAAGCCTCAGAAGCCAAATAGGAAAAGAAAAAATTCAAACTCATGAAATGGTTCTTTAAACAAAGAAATGTAAAATCTTTAAGCAGAAAACAGTTTGTGATCATGCTATCTACAGTCTACAAGTTAGCATTTAATGTCAGGTTTCAAATATTATGAGTCCACATAGCACCACCTTCCAGCAGCATTCCACCTGAGTAATTCATGATCAGTTGATCACTTAAGGCTCCCCCATGGATGACGGATCCACCTACACTACAGGAGTTATAAACAGCATCCTTAGCACCCACAAAGAAACAGCCTAATATTTAGTGGATTCTCTTCTCTTTATCTCATGCATGAAAGATAAACAATGCCAACCCTAGGAAGTTGCTAATATCTTTTTTTTATTTCATTATTGTTTCATGTCCATCCCACTCACATATGTACCAATTCTCCACAGAATAGGCCACTAGTAATCCTCATGAAGAGTATTGATGAACAAAAGGAACTACTGATCTCCTCTTTTAAGTGGAATTTACAAACCATTAGATTTCTTTGCGCTGTCAATACACGTACTCCATATTTGATGTTGCTTATGAAGTATTTGGAAATAAGGATATAAATCTACATAAAACTCAAGTTTACTGCAATACATATTCCAATTGCAAATTCAATACACAGAATCAAATATATGTATGACCAGTACAATAGAAGTCATTAACTTGAAAATTGAGCTGCACCCCAGATCAACTTAGCAAAACTGGATACACAAGCAGCATTTCCAACTAATCATCTCAAGGCAAGGGGACAAATTCTGATTCTTGATAAAAATTGTACTTCTTATATTCAAGATAGAAACTATGGGTAACATGCCCACAACCGTCTTCAGCTATGAAGCATTTCAATATCAGCCATTTTTGTATTAGATGCCCATCTATCCAATAGATCAGCAAAATTTTCTTATAATAACCAATTTCATGCACTTAAGCACCACAAGATGACAAAATTTCCAACGAGTTTAAGCATAGAAGCAAAATCAAAACAAAAAATCGAGCCCAACAAATCCGGAATTCAAAACAAATGCACACCTTCTTTTTCCCAGCTTCCAAATGCTCTTGCTTCCGCAGAACCTGAGCAGACGCCATTGGAACAATCGAAATATATGTTTTATCTCCAAACGCCTTTTTAAATCCTCACAAACAAAAAAATACAAAACCCTAAAATCAAACCCCAAATTCTACCATCCGGCACAGATCAATATACATACATTCAAATCCGTATCTACACCAATACACGCATATGCTAGGATGGGCAAAGAGAATGGTGAAGGAATTGCAATTTGGGTTGGATCGGGTTTTTAGCGTGCAAAAGATTTGAACATTAAGAAGGAGAGGGATGATAAAATCTGTAATGAAACCCCTAAATTCTGTGTCGAGAAAAAGGGGACTCCGATCTGATCGGGAAGGGGAATGAATGGAAAACCTTTCTGCTCTTTTTCGTTTTTTCCGTAAATTTCATTTTTCGACCAGATCTCCCTCCGGTGTATTTTTTTTTTCCGTTAGTTACCTTCTTTTCTTTTCTTTTTTTTAATTTTATTATTATTTTCGAGTAGATCTCATCTACGGCCTGTTTTCTCTTCCCTCCTATGTATTTTCCGTTATAGTTACCTACTTTTCTTTTGCTTTTTTATTACGTCGTAAATTAGGAAAACCAAAAACAAACTGCCGGTATTTAATTTTAACAAATAAAACCGTAACCTAAGAAAACACGCCGACTGTAGAGTGAATTTCAATCATTCCTTTTTTTTTTTTTGCCTTTTGAGAATGACCCACATATTAATCTAGAAAAAATTCACTACCAAACTCTAATCGAGCTGGCCCAACAACATCCGCTTTAAGTAATCAATCCAGGCTCTCTGACGGTTCCTCAAAGACGATGGTACCCCAATCTCTTTGATGTCCAGTATTGGCTAAATGGTCAGCACACTTATTGGCTTATTGCCCTCTCTTAAGATATGTTGGAAGTTAATCATTCTGAAATCTTTAGCAAAGAATTTGCATTCTCTGATAAGCGCCAACACTGACTCTTACATTTCCTCGTCCCCTTTCATGGCCGTGACTACCGCTTCGAAGTCAAGTTCAAAGATCGCCCTCACTAAACTCCTAGTCTTTGCCAGCTGTAGACCCTCTCTTAGGCCCCACAGCTCAGCGGCAAAGCTATTCGTATGCCCAATTTTGGTTGTGAAACCAAAACCCCACTCTCCGTTGTGAAACAATTTGGCACAATTCAACCAAATTAGTCGAATTTAACATATAAAATGAAACAAAGAGGATATATGGGGGTGTTTGATAAATAATTATTAGATAATATTATTAGCTGATTGAGTTAGTGGTTTGACAAGTTGAAAGCATTAACTAATTGTGAAAAAGTATTGGGAAAAGATACAAATAGGTCATTGAACTATTTGAAGGATAGCAATTGCTATCGAATTCAAATAAGCTCCAAATTCATCAATGAACCTGAAAAAAACAAAAAAAAAAACAAAATAAAAAAACAAACAAACAATTAGCATTTTTAGCAGATTAACAACAAGCTTGTGCTAATTGGGATGATATGTGTACTTTTTATTTTTATTTTTTTCCCATTTTGGATCAAATGCTTATTAGGATGATAATAATAATAATAATAATAATAATAATAATAATAATAATAATAATAATAATAATAATAATAATAATAATAATAATAATAATAATAATAAATACACATATCCAATCAATACAAACTTGTTGTTAACCTGCTAAAAATGTTAATTGCTCTTTTTTTTTTCAGGTTCATTGATGAATTTAAAGCTTATTCGTGTTCAATGGCTTAATTGCTATCTCCCAAATAATTTGATGGCATTTGACTACTACAAAATGACTTTCTCAAAAAACTGATCGAAAAATTACTTTGAACAGTTTTTAAAATTTTACCATTTTGAAATAATATATTGTTACAAAAAGCTAATTAATCAAACACGTATATTAATTGTTTAACCAAATCAAATAATTAATAGTACGTAATTGAATAAGACTAAATTAGTTGATAGGCTAACTGTTTTACCGAATAGGACCATTTTAACTAAAAATATATATATATATATTAAACGTCACATATTATACAATCTCGTAGAAAATGTATTCATTATTTTATTTTATTGATAAAATTAGTAAAATTAGAACATGCACACTAACAACCAAAATAAATGTGACATGAGTAATTGATTGAAAAATTATAGCATGTGAAAGTTTGTACCTATAATAATAATATCGATTGTAAAACGTATAAATAAAGTGGTTATATCGTGCATCAGGGCGCAAATACATTGTGCATCCCGCCTATTTCAAAACAACATCGTTTTGGTATATTGTTCAAAAAAAAAAAAAAAACTTATGTTTTGAATACACATAAACTCATAACATAATACACATAATCTAACATCATACATAATACACATAAACTCATAACATAATACACATAAACTCTTAATATAATACACATAAACTCTTAACATAATACACATAAACTTTTAACATAATACACATAAACTCTTAACATAATACACATAAACTCATAACACAATACACATAAACTTTTAACTGAATACACATAATGGAGTTTGGTCCATTTGAACAGATAGAGTGGCGTCCTTTACGTCAATCCCCCGTCAACAGCAATTGAAACGACGGCGTTTTGTGTCTGGACAAATATTGCTATGTGCACTGTGGTGCACGATATAAATTGCTCGTATAAATAATCCAATTATATTTTTTGCCAAGTCCTAATGCTTTAATAATTAATATATTTTGTTTTATACAAAAGAAGAAAGTAACAAAATAGTAAGTGTATAATTACAAAGAATCTAAGTCAAGTAACTCTACAATCTAAATCAATTAGATTCCTTATATATATGTCTAATTACAAAAATCTAATCTCTACAATTTTACAAGGCATGAATAAAAATAAGTAAAATAACCTTCGTAATCTGAATTTAAAAAGTTCTCGCCCATTAACTCTTCCTTGAATTATAATTATATAATGAAAATTCATATTTTCACTTCCAATAACGGATTTTTTTTATTAAAAAAAAAAAAAAAAAGACAAATTAAAGAAGGGATCCCATTAAAGAATAAAGAAAGATCTTTGACTAAATAAGCTCTTATTATTGCCACCTTAACATAACACTAACATAATCTCTGAGCAAATATAGGAGTATTTGAATTAAATAATATAATATTAAAATAAAATTGAAAAGTTATGTACGTGTTAACTAAATAGTTTGCTAGATGAGGAGCATGTTGCCATTGCATATTTGCATGAGCTTAACCACGATTTCATGGTAAATTAGGGTACTTTCTTTCTTTCTTTTTGTTTTTTAATACTATTTGACTCTATTACAAGATTATATATGGTATATACTTTCTCTAACTACTGCAGCGCCAAAGAGTTAATACCTCATCATCAGGATTCGATCCTGTAACCTTCACTCAAGAGGAGCCACAAAGATAACATCTGAACACAAGATGTTTGACTAAATGAACATACTTAAGCTAAGCTTTTGTTTTTCTTTTTATTTTGACCAAAAACAATGATTGATAAAAATAAATAAAAAGATTTAACAATTCTCCCACATATGATTTTTATTTTGATCTTACGTACTTTTAATTTTAATTCTAAAACATTTATATGATCAAACCCCACCGACAAATTAGTAATGATCATGACAGTATGATTAATTACAAGAGTTGTTTTAAGCACTTTATTACCCTTATAATTTACGAGTACTTTAACTTTGGTAAACCACTCATCTCTTTACCTATGATCAATCTTATCTCTTATAGTGTGTTCATTATTATTTCAATTTTAGAGAAATTAACCACAATATTGATCTGATCTCTTAATTATTATGTACAATAAGTCAATAATAGTGCGATTAGTTATTTATTACAGTTAAATATTGTTGAATAGTACATCGAGTGATAGAGATGTTTAGTTACGTTACTAACAAATGCATTTAAAACTATCAAAGTATGAGGATGGTTTTTGTAAATGTGATAAGCATTAAGTGACTCACAGTTTGGATGTCATTCATACTATGTAACGTTGAGGGGTAATAATATGTCTCACTCTTCGGTGGCTTGGGGAGGTATGTTTATGGATCCTTCATTATTAGCATAAGCATTGACATGCAAAAAAAGTGTTGTCTTGGTTGAAAAGTAAAGGCCTCGACATTGTCATTATGGAATCTGATTGAGTCAATATAGTTCAACACAACGACCGTGCTAATTTGATTATTATTAATTTGGTTTAATAGTAAAAGATTGTATTGGGTTGATTAGTGATTACTATTCTTTTGTCGTTAGATATCCGTCAACTTATGACCATTTCGGTCATCACATGTACCATTTCCTCTGAAAAGTTAATTATCAAAATGAGTTTTTACCCATTTTGGTCCCTTGACTATGGCTCATTCTCAATTTTGCATTCCGACTTTTAATTGCACCCAATGTGGTCCCTTGACTTTAAAAAATTACCCCAATTTGGTCCTCCGTTAGGTTTAGGGTCAACTGGACGTTAAGATTGAGGGTATTTCCGTCCATTCCCTTCAAAGCTTCGTCTAGCAGGATGTTTGAGCTCTTGACATCCGTTTCCGGCGTGAAGGTATTGCAATCCGCACGCGGCGCAGAGGCAAATGCTCAGCCGTTGTTCCGAACAGAGATTGGAACGATTGTCATCGTCAAACATGTAGAGATGGTCCGCGAGTCTTCCTCTGGCCATGAACTCGTAAACCAGTAACAGCCCTTGTTCTTTGTTGCAGAATTCGTTTTCTCCTTGATCTCCATCCAAAATTCGTTTTCTCCTGTTTGCTCCATCTTCAGTGCTGCATTATGATTCGTTAATGGAAGCTCGATAGACTTTTCCAAAACCGCCTTTGCCAATAATATAGCTCTCATCAAAATCAGTCGTGACCGATTTGAGCTCATCCAGAGAGAAATGTCTGCACAATAACATGTTCCGACACACGAATATGATGCCCGCCGCCGCTATGTGGGCGGTGGCATTCGCGGAGAGCTAAGCACCACCTCAATTAACAATTACTTTCTATCAAATAAACAAAAGAACTTTAATGGTAATTAAAATTGCAAGCTAAGCACAAATCAAGAAAATTAGAGAGAAGGAATTGAATTGCTTATGCCAAAAGGGTTGATGGTTCCGCCAATTCATGCTGCTGCCAAAGGAATTTCGTAAAAGCCAAACAAGTAAATTCCAGCCGAAGAACTGGGAAGAAGCCACCGCTGAAGAATTGTTGCCGACAGGAGAAGCTTCCAGCTAGACTACCAATTTTTTACAAGATCTTTCACCGCAGATTGGAAATTTGGGAGTTTCCGAATTGGTTTTTGGTGAATAGATTTGGTGTTAGATTGGAGATGAAGAACCGTTTGATCGCTAATTCCCCTCGTCCGGGACTTTCTCGATGCTGCTGGTGAGCGTCGTCGCCGTCCCTAGCACATCAGGGTCGAGAATCTCCATCAGTTCACTTCCAAATTGCTCAACTTCTCTAATTTGTTTAGTCACCGTTAGTAATTCACCATTAGTGATTTTGTCGAGAATCTCCATCTCCGTATTCCGCCGCAGAGCCGCCGGCGTTCGATCTCAAATTTGTTCAATTGTTATGCCTCGGTTGTCCATCCTCAACATTAACGAATTGACTGAAATACCCCCAATATTAACGCCCAATTGATGCAAAATCTAACGGAGGACCAATTTGGAGTGATTTTTAAAAGTCAAGGGACCACATTGGGTGCAATTGAAAGTCGGAATGCAAAATTGAGAATGAGCCATAGTCAAGGGACCAAAATGGGTAAAAACTCTTATCAAAATGGTCCATTAACTATAACGAAATTACCAAGTTGGTTCTAATTTAACGGATGCCTAATGACAAAACAAACAAATGACCAAATTGGTTCAAAAAAAAATTAAAATTGAGAGACTTAATTGGTCAAAAAAATAGTCACTGATCAATTTGATAATTTTGTTATAGTCAAGGGACCATTTTGATAATTAACTCTATTTTAATTGTATTTATGCTCATACATATAGATATACATACATACACACACACACACACACACACATACATACATACATACATACATACATACATACATATATATATATATATATATATATATATATATATATATATATATATATATATAATAAGTTTTGATCAAAAGGAACTTTAAGTTGCTAGTATAATAATATTAAGTATGGTGGTCTATATTCAGCTTTGTTAATGTCCCATCATCAACACCTCTATCCAGATACCAAAAGCATGATTATTGGTTGTGGTATAGAAAATCTATAGTGGTCATAAACACCGTTGCATTTTACGTACACATGTTATATATGTTTCCATTAGTATCTCTGGTCATGCATAAGATAATGTTACAATATCATTAATCACCATATTCCATGGAACTTAAATTTCAATGTACTTAGGGGGCGTTTGGTTCAAGTTATATAACATAACCAAGGGAATGTGACATTCCAAAGCTCACATTCCTATGTTTGGTGCACATTATCTCAGGGAATCTAACATTCCCCAGGAATGTCACATTCCCTCCACATAGGATTTTGAAGGGAATGTGATTCCCTTCAAAATCTTAGGTAATGTAAGATAACCTTGGTTATGTTAGTTTATTATTATTATTATTATTATTATTATTATTATTATATATAATTATTTTTGTAATTATATATATTTTTATTTTTATTATGTTATGTTAGCATATAAAATAATTTTGTTTCTTAAGTTCAAGATTTTAGTTAATATTTTAAAATCATGTAATTATATATGATACCGTTATCTTATTTATTTATTTTAATTTTTAAATTTATTAAAATATATGAAAATATGTTAAGGATATTATAGTGTGTATAAAAGATAACCCTAAACCAAACATGATTATATTACATACCCCAATTTTAACCAAACATAGGAATCTAACATTCCCAGTAATCTAACATTCCCAGCAATCTAACATTCCCTAAGGTAATCTGACATTCCGTGAACCAAACGACCCCTTACATTTACGTTTTAATTTAATGGTAAAAAAAATTTATCATGTCATAACTAATTATATTGATGGTTATATTAGAACAACGTATCATGAAATTGCGTGTAAAGGGTATTATTCACACCAAATGTAAATATTAAATAAATCGGGCACTAGGTCACAAGTGTCATTTCCATTTGTAATTAAATAACATTATTGAAAATTGACTTTGAATTCAATCCCAATATGAGTTATTACAACTTCTAAACAAATTAGACAAATTTAAAAAAAAAAAGGATTGAAGACAAGTAACCGAGGAAATTAAATCACAAATATCATGCCAGAAGATGGTGATGTCTTAGTGAGGAACAATACCCCTTATTTATAGTGCCAAAGGGTCCCAAATTGGACAAAATCAAGTGAATGTCATACTCCAAAAGTCATCACCCATAAATGTGTCCATGTATTACCAGCCACGTCTCACGACTCTTACCACACGCTTATATCGGGAACCACCCACTATGTCAGCTCACATGTGAGGCAAATTTTGGTCATGCTCAACCAAGCCTGGGGGGATAGGTGCCCACGCCTGGGTGTGATGTAGTTGGCGGTAAGACTATGAGGTGCACATCAAGCTTAGGTTGGGTTTTAATGCCGCCACGACCTTGCTGTTCTCTCCGACTATGCACGAGCACGAGTGCACGACCACACCGCATTTGCCATATCATATTCGGCGATAAGGCGCATGGTACATATTGAGTTATCGCATTGCTTTAATGCCGCCTTTGTCACTTCTTTGGTTATGCATAACTCCATCGCCACAACTCTTGTCCACACGTAGCCAATATTAGTTTTGTTGTAGCCAACAGCAGGCCATTGGGCACATAGCGGGTCCTCCCACGTGACTCGAACACCCCACCACATCTTTTTTTACACCCTTACTCCCTTATTCCACCATAATTATGCTTTGACCCCAAAATATTTGCATCTCAACCATTTGAATATCAACCCATGTCTCACTTCAAATCCCATCATCTCAATATTATATCCTAACCCTTTTCTTTATATCTAGGCTCCCAAAACTTTGATCATGAATTCTATTTATCTCTTGGACTCAATTTACTCTTAGATATCCACTTCATCCTCAATTTACTCTTAGATATCCACTTCATCACCACATTAATTTTGAATACAGACCACTCTTCATCACAATTTTGGTATGAAACATAACATGGTCCGGGTCCACCCGGTTCGCTCCAAGAAGCAAAGGAGTTGGCCCAAAGAAAATTGTCACTTGTAGAAATCAAATTCGGATTATCTCAAAATTCTCCCCCACAAAGAGAGCTCACTTGCCACTTGAGCTACCATGTTGGGTTTGTAAAAATTTCAATTAAACGAATAAAAATTAATCGAAAACAACAGGATTAGAGTGGATTAACAAATCTCAATAGTAACGTAGGTGGGGTCATACCGGAATTTAAACAAACTAGTGTCCTACAAAGTACAAACTCAAAAAATAAAATGAAAAATACAAAATTTGCCGTAAGTCAAATGTAACTGACAGGGGAAAACGACAAATGATACACACGCTGAACAACCCACACCCCCGCGCGGGGGGTGCTTTTCGGCGCGTCACTCCTTGAGGGTCTCTCACGCGACTGTTCTCCGGGGAGAAAATGTTGGCGACGGAGTTAGCTCCGATGGCGATGTGTGAAAGCAAAGGCCCAATCTTCTGCGGGGCTGAGCCCGTAGATGGGGATGTGGTGGATGCAATTGAGAGCAGAGTGAAGAAGAGGAAGAAGAGAAAGAAGAAAGAGGAGTGCGAAAGGGGCACTTGTTCAAATTCAATGGATCCCCTTGAGGTATTTGGCACAGACATCATGCTGATGATTCTGAGCCATCTTGACGCACGCAGCGTGGCACTATCTCTCCTTGTCTCCCGCCGTTGGAATGGAGTTGCTTCCAGCGACACCATTTGGGGCCCCAAGGTTTGCCGTTTCCATGCTTTTGATTCTTGGTTTGAGTTTTCTGGAGTATTTGGGAATTTTGGAGTCAATAATTTCTTCAATGTTTTGAAATGCGTGAACCTTTGAGAACTGTGGTATTTTTGTTGTGAATTTTAGCTGTTTTACAACTTTCGTTGTTCTGCACAGCTCATTTGTTTCTCTTTATGTTCTGATTTTTACATTCAGCTAGGAAATTGTCTGTTATACAACTTGTTTTTAAGCAAAGGTTAGTTTACTGGGAATTTAGGAATAAGCAAGGGTTAGTTTACTGGGAATTTAGGAATTTGATATGCTGTTGGGTATGTGAAATGGGGATTGTCATGGGAAGCCTCCATTTCTATGAATTAAAATTTCTTTTCTGGACTGGTTTAGTTGAGAATTCGGAAACTCTAGTCTTGATAGGATGGAGCATCTCCATCAACCTGAGTTTAATAAGAAATTTGAGTATGGGTTTGTTTAACATAGTTTCCATGTGAAAGTGTTATGGATTCTATTACTTTTCAATGATGGATTGCTTTCATCTTACGGTCTTACCACTTCATATTGTGGCAGTTAATTTTTTTTTTCTTCCCAAGTACGAATGTACGATAGAGGGGAGGGGATTTGAACCCAGACCAAAGACCTGAGAAAAGCCTCAAACCCCTTTTGTTGTCTGGCTGTTGATTTGATTGACATGTTCTCTTAGATTATTCCCAATTTCATTTGACCCCATTTGGAAAAGGGTTTGTTTCGGTGTTATATTCATTAGAGTTGGTTACAGCTCCTAGCCGTCTATGAGGACCATTTTGTACAATTGATCATTGATGTGTTTCCTTAACAATGAATTTTGGAAATTGAACTCAAAGTTATGAAGAAAGGTTTTCAGATTATTGGGGTGATTAGGATTCATTTGTCTCTGAATATCTTAATTGCTGTTCTCTCTCTCTCTCTCCTCCTGACTGGAACCCCAGACCAATAGTTAGAAAGCCAGTTGTTTTGAACAGTATGCTTTTGGATGTTCCAAATGTGTTATCTGTCAACCATATGATATAATGATAATGATGCAAGGCGAGTTGATTTTTGTACTTCTAGATGCATTTTAGTTACAGATGCAACAGTATATAACTTGTGCTACTTTCTAACATTTTTCATAATTTGTAGTGCGAGGAATTATGGCTTGGAAAAGCACATATACCTCGTATATCAAAGCTTCGGGGACTTGCAAAGTTGGCTGTTTACTCATTGGCAGTTGTTGATGGCAAACGTGTGAGTAATTACAAACTCCCCTCCCCCCTCTCTCTGTGCACAAATATTTGTTCCTCTACCTGGCTACTGGCCAGTTATCAATTCAAATGTGTTCATTCCAGGCTCGAATAATGAGGGATGACCTCTGTGATCATGCTTGGGAATTTCATTTTACTGAGGTACGCTATAAGATACGGAGTAGTTATCAGACATTACTATTTTCTTTTATCATTGTCCATGCATAAATTTGCTATTATTTGACAAAAAATATAACCAAGATAGAAACGACAGATTTACAGTCCCTTTTCTTTTACTTCAGATAGAAAATTCTTTTACTTATCCAATCTTTTCCTGTCACTAATCACTTATATTTCCAAAACATATACTTCTGCTATTGTTCACTGTGCCTCAGCCCTCATGATATTGTCTTAATTTTCAATATTAGAATGGACTTTTACTATTTAATCAGGTTTCTCTCCTTGTAGAGATGACTGCATTGAGGTCGGTTGCATCTAGCACATTTTCATAGGGGACCTATCTGACTGAACCTCATTTCTCTCAGGCTGCTCCAGAATATTGGCGAAATCTTGACCCTTACTGGAATGGCACCGGAGCTCCCTTGCGTCGCTATTTCCATCCAGACGGAAGCCAAACTGCAGATCCGCAGGACCAGATCTGGGGTGGTCACGAGGCCTGCTACTGTGTAGTAACAAGCTACCTGGCTAATGACAAGATAAGACAACACTATGTGAGGATTAACAGGTGGCCCCAACTATACGTGTCGAGGAAGCTGGATTGGAGGTGGGAGATGTCCAACAAGCTATGCATCTACACCAGCATCCCTGATCCTGATAAACCGGATGGGACTGGCCCTCTATTCCCAGTTTTCTAACTGTGGTAGGCCTACTTGCTTCGTTTTGTCTGTTGTAGGATAAAGGAAAGTCGAAATCTTCCAGTTTTGATGTTTGAAGTGGAAGTGTTTGTATAATGTGCTAAAGCAATGGATTCTGCGACTGATGCTAATTAGAATAAGGAGTATTTTGCACCACTCAAGTCCCTCAACTTGATGAGTGATATATAAATCATAAAGATTCAAAAAGTGAAACTTGAGTTGATATCAAAATCTAATTATTGTGCTTTCTTAGCCACATAATAATTGCCCTTTATTGTGCTTGATAACACAACCTAAGTCCCCAGAGGAATTGCCAGGGTCATCAAAATGCACAAGGAATATATTGTTTTTACAATTAGTAGGCAACAAACCAGAAAACCTTATCAAAGTGGCAAGGCCAAAGTCGATCCAATCTGATTCACTTCAAATTTCCTCATAAACCAAAAAAAAAAAAAGTCCAGAAAAACATGTATGGCAGTGACCATACTCATGACATAAAATGATCCAGTAAGAAGAGTATAATTATACTCCCAAATCTCATGAGAATACGTTAAATTATTTTAAAAGAAAACTACACGGTTGTTTTGAACAATTTGAACACAAGTCGAAGGTACATTATTACTTGCGCGCCCAAAGACAGCACATACTGCAATGACTGGAACATGATTGCTGTTGCTTCTGCACATCCAGCAGGATAGTATAAGATCTTACCAGACATCAGGTCGAAGCTCTCCGGTAGCTGGGGGCATCCATCTCCCCGAGTTGTACACACTCTCGCCCACTTTCCAACCAGGAACATCCTTCATAATTCTCGCCTCTTCTTCTAGATACTTCCTCCATTCTTTGACAAATCTAAAGACATAAAACCCAAAGTGCAATGGTGAATAAGGTATAAAGCCTATTCTGGAAGGCAGAGAAAAGTCCAAGCTGCCGCTAACCTTTCATCCTCTTCAGCTTGTAACATGGGAGTTATGGCTCTTCGAGCAGCATATTTTTCTTCCTTTATTGCCCTACAGAATACGAAGATCTTGTTACAGTTCAACAGCCATTTTTCCTATTTTTTCAATGACCAAAAAGCCTAGTATTCTGTAATTTTCGTAAACAAAAAATTCGCAATCATCACATCATTGGAACGAACCCCAGTGGATAAATCAGAATGCCAAGATGCAAATACAATGGATAACCAGAAGCTGACAACCATCAAACAAAATGGAATGGTGCCATTCATCTGATAACTACCAAGATTTGAAAAAAAGAAGAAGATGCAATAATAGGCGGGTGGCAAGGTGTAAACTACAAAGAGCTGTTCACGACCAAAATTACAAACAGTAATATATGTAATCAGTGGATTTGGTCAAAATCCAGAGTAGCAATCTATAGGTTAATTAAGTTCATCCGTGCATTCACATGTAAATATGCTAGCTTGATCTACATATAAAGGAAGCCACATGAAACAAGGAACTTATCAGCTACACATTTTAAAGAGTTCCCAGACATTTCCCAATAACTTCTATCACTTTGTAAAATAATAGGGATTTTATAATCTGCAGTGATAATTTAAAAATATCAGAGATGATTCATAGAATACTTTAAAGCTGCTAGTTCTACAGTTTCATTTTCTACTGAAATCTAAGAATTCTTGGAACTTCTACCACTTTGTTGTAGAACAGACATTATAGAGACTAATAAATTTTTAATCCAAGGGTCTTTAGGGAATCCAATTAAAATTTAAAGCCTCTACTACATGTAATATACCTTAAGGAAGTACTGCACTACAATAAAGACTAAGCCTCAATATCTCCCCCATCGAGCAAAAGTTAGCTCACTGTTAACCGTGCAACTACTTTTATGGTTTGTATCCGTTCCCCCCATAACATATCTTATCCCACTCCCTGCTTAAAAATCAAAGGGGAATTTCGATTTGTATGGAAACATCCATGTGATGGCACATTGTATCCTAATATGATCAAGATGGCACTTTTATTGCTGCATGTACCTTATTAGACAAAATTTTCATAATTTCACATAAAAAACATTGAAATTTGATTCACTAGTGAATATAATTCATCAATCCCCTAGACCTATCTTTCAAGAATTAATTCACTTAACAATGCACAAACATAATCCTCAACTGAAATGATAAAAATCACAATCGAATCACCACTTAACAATATAAATGTCTGTATAAAAATCAGTAAAATCTCAGCTTTAATTGTTGAAAAACAAGACCATCTAATGCAAAAGGTGCATATAATCTCGATAGTTGAAAAATTATGATCAATAAATATCTTCATTATCCAAATTAAACGCGATCCAGATCAAATCAAAGATCCGATCTTTACATACACACGCCGTACCTACGCTTCTTGTTGCCTTGGCCGACCTGGTACATGCCCCAAGAGAAGGTGCCTAAAGCAGTGAGGAAAATGGCCATGGCGCTGGGGCCAGTGTTGGGAATTCGGCGGGCGAACCTGACCGGAGCGAAACCTCCGGGCGGAGGTCCGTCTTGTAGAAGCGGCATGTCCTTCACGCTGGCCATGCCCGGCTTCTTCCTTATCATTGCCTCCGTCATCTTTGATCTGTGATCTCCCTCAACAATGGAGGAGCTACAAAACTATAAACGACTATAGGTGCCTGGGGTGAGTGACACAGAGTTGAGAGGGAAACTCGATAGATTAACGAGGGATTCGACCCGACCCGGCGGGACTGGTGGAGATTAGGGCGCGTGACCCCCAAAATGTTCTACCAATTAAAGTACGGTTTACTTTTTAATTAACGAGAAAATAGTTAAATAAATTCTTAAATTTTAGATCAAAATGTAATTAGAACTTTTAACTTTTAAAAAGTGTAATTAAATATTTGAACTTGTTATTTTGATGCGTTAAATCTAATAATCGGTTATTCATCTGGAATAATCAATTATTAAGATTTCGACAAAAAAAAATTCTGACAATAATAAAATTTAAAAAAGAAAATCAAGTGTCCTAACCATAGAAGATAACCGACAGCCCGACAAGACGACCAGATCTAGTCGCCTTCTCCACACTTGGAGAAGGCGACCAGTCCGATTGATAATATTATAATTACCTGTAACCTATTGGTTATCGATAAATCATACTTATTTGACTCATTTTGACAAGTTCAAGTATTTGATTGCACTTTTTAAAAGTTTAATAGTCTCTTTCTAACAAAAAATTAAATAGCCTAATTGCACTTTTACCTAAAATTTAAAGGTCTATTTGATTTTTTTTAAAATTTTATTTTATTATATAATTTTGATATTCCTGTGACATCCCATTTGGAAGAGTCAAAGTTATGTTGCTCCTCACCAAGTTTTGGCATATTTTTTTTTTTGAAAACAGGTTTTGGCATATAACTTGATTAACTTCCATATATGATTATATTATAATTAATTAATAATTTAATAATTAATAATTATTTTGAGAAACAAATAAATAACGAATGATAAACCCTAAAAGCCCTAGGAGGTGCATCTTCTAGACGCTTCTCTTTAGCTATTCATATATACTGAGTAACAACTATTCAACCCGATCTCTACTCTCTTCTTTCTTTCTGTGCGCTTCCTCATTGACAAACTCTGACGAAGCGTATCTACTCATTATCAATACATAAATCATGCATCGTTTCTTATCGAACATTGCCTCCAAAGCCAGGTACTTCTTTTTTGGGCATTTCTTATTATCTTTTCCTTCTTAGATTATAGTGATGCAATCTGCATTTGGCTTTAAACGCTTTCTTGAATGTGCAGGGTTGCGAAAAGCAGCTCCCAGCAGGTACCTATATTTCGTTGTTTTGTTTTGTGTTGAAAACGTTGGTCTGAATGTTTTATGATCTGTGAATTTTATTCAATCCTGGAATTTTCGGTTTGTAGGTTGGTAGTAGGTTAGGCTGGAGCAGAAATTATGCTGCTAAGGATATTAGATTTGGAGTGGAGGCTCGGGCCTTGATGCTTCAGGGTGTAGAAGAACTTGCTGATGCAGTTAAAGTTACTATGGGTCCCAAGGTACCTTTTTGTAGTTTGGGAGTTTGATGATTTCTATATTTTGCGTGTCCTTGGTTTAACTAAAAAAGGTTTGATTTTTTTTTTTTTTTTTTTTTTGGCATTAGTTGTTAGTATTGTAAGCCATTTTGTATGTGTGATATACATGTATCATTATGTGTATGTATACTAATTGTTTTGTTTTTGAGGCATTTTTTGCTGGGAAAATTGTGTTTTTCTACGTCCACATTCTTTCTGTAGTTGAACTCTCTGCTATATCAGTGTGATGAGTATTGATTGAAATTATTGAGAGTGCTGTAGAAATTAGAATATTAGCAAACTATATCCATATATGGCTGTGCTAGTGATTTGTTTAATCTCTGCATTATGGGAATTCTTAAAAATGTATTGGAATTTGAAATATTGTTAGCTAACAAATCCTATAGGTTGATTGGTGTTGCTCATCTACAGGATTTCATTACCATTAGTTTTTGGATTTTTGGCTAAACTTGATGTTAAGCTTCACTATCTGGTTGTCAGAATTGATGTGTTTCTGATCAACTCGTTCCCTTGAAGCAAAAGTACATGTGCTGCCCTTCTACAATCTCTCCTTGGCATTGTTGCATTTGGAGAACACTGGGGCAGCTACATTTTAATATTTTATTGAGTTAATACCCAAAATAGTCCCTCGACTATGTCGTAATTACCAATTTGGTCCCCGACTATCATTCTTACCCAATTAAGTCCTCAACTATACAATTTTTACCCAATTTAGTCCTTTGTCAATTTGACTGTTTGTTGACTGTCAAAAGTGGAAATAAAGTTAATTTTACAAGTTTTCTCCTTCCTCCTCATTTAGCAGCGTCAAATCATGTAGCAATAAGCTCCGGTTGGGTTCTAAACCTGTCAGTATCGAAGTAGTGGTTATGCATCGGATAGCCCATGAATTTGATTTCCAACGATTTTTTGACGATCGAAATCTGATCGGAGTGTATTGTTGCATGGTTTGGCGCTGCTAAATGGAGAGGAAGGAGAAATCTTGTAAAATTATAATTTTATCCCGACTTTTGATAGTCAACAAACAGTCAAATTAATACAGATGACTAAATTGGGTAAGAATTGTATAGTTGAGGACTAAATTGGGTAAGAATTGTATAGTTGAGGACTTAATTGAGTAAAAGTTACATAGTTGAGGACTTAATTGGGTAAGAATGGTAGTTGAGGACCAAATTGGTAATTATGACATAGTCGAAGGACCATTTTGGGTATTAACTCTATTTTATTCACTCCCATGTTTTAATTTATTATTTATTATGTGTGATAGAGAGGCCAGTATTATTTTTACATTTGCAAGATACTGTTGTTAGTGTTATTTGCTGTTTTTAATGCTGAGTCCTTGGCCATTTTAGTAATAGAAGTAATAGATTATTAACTGGTTAATACATATTTGTTTATGAAGGGACGTAATGTTGTTATTGAACAAAGTTGGGGTGCCCCTAAAGTAACAAAAGATGGTGTCACAGTTGCAAAAAGTGTTGAATTCAACAACAAAGTGAAGAATGTTGGTGCGAGCCTGGTAAAGCAGGTTGCTAATGCTACTAATGATGTTGCTGGTGATGGTAAGTCCAATATAAATATCTTATTGAACGATTATGTTGCAGATACTTGTTATGCTTTAATATATTGTTGCTTCATGTCTAAAGTTCACCTTTGCATATGCGGTTTACATATAACATACTTACTTTATTATGATGTCTTTTTCCCTTTACAGGTACCACTTGTGCAACTGTCCTCACACGGGCTATATTTGCTGAAGGCTGTAAGTCAGTTGCAGCTGGCATGAATGCAATGGATCTTAGACGTGGTATCACCATGGCTGTTGATTCTGTGGTCACAAACCTGAAGAGCAGAGCACGGATGATAAGTACATCAGAAGAAATTGCACAGGTATTATCATTGGCTGATATATGTTGTATTGCTAGCATATGACAATCTGACCCAACTTTTTTTTTTTTTTTTTGAACTCCTACTGGTCGTTTGACATAAATGTATAGAAATATGTATGAGAGATATAAGTTCTCTTCTTGTGCTGCAACCTCTAGCAGTTTTCAACAGGGCTTATAATTACATTTTCAGGTTGGTACAATTTCCGCAAATGGGGAAAGAGAAATTGGTGAGTTGATTGCAAAGGCTATGGAGAAAGTTGGCAAGGAAGGAGTCATCACAATTCAAGTTAGTGCTTGGTGTTTCCTGCAATATTACTGGCCATTAAATTACTTCCAATTGCAATTCTTTTTTCCGATTATGTCTGATACTACTTGGACCAGTGCTGGGTGATATTACTGGAATGCATTTAATGGTCAATTATAGGCTTCAGTAATCTGAGGCATTTATGATGCCTAATCCAAGTATTAATCTTCTATGTAACATTACTATGCCTAAAAATTTTGATCTTGATTGCTGTTATAGGATGGAAAGACATTATTGAATGAGTTAGAAGTTGTTGAGGGGATGAAGCTGGATAGGGGCTACATCTCCCCATATTTTATTACCAATCCAAAGAACCAAAAATGTGTAAGTCTTTTTAATCTTATACTTTGCATGCTATAAATCATTATGATTTATTTACAGTAAGCGTGATGGTGAGATGATTATTGTGTTGATTTGCAGGAGTTGGATGACCCTCTTATTCTAATACACGAGAAGAAAATCTCAAGCATAAATGCTATTGTAAAAATCTTAGAGTTGGCTTTGAAGGTATACTTCCTATGCTATTGTTGATATGAAGTACTTGCATTGGCAGTTTGCCATCGAGATGCATGGCACTTTGGCTTAATTTGGTCATATTGCAGAAACAAAGATCTCTCTTGATTGTAGCTGAAGATGTGGACAGTGATGCCCTTGCAACTCTTATTCTAAACAAACTTCGTGTTGGAGTCAAGGTATTTTAGCAACTATTAGAGTAGTTTCTCTTGCTGTTAGCAATTTGACTTTATATCTGATGTAATTGGCTTGTATGCAGGTTTGTGCCATAAAAGCTCCTGGCTTCGGTGAGAACAGGAAGGCCAATCTTCAAGATCTTGCTACTTTAACTGGAGGCCAAGTGAGAACTGAGACCCCTGCCCTGTGATGCATTTGCGCATTTATACATAGTTGTGTGTTTTAGAATTCACTGTTTTTATTCTATGTGACAGGTCATAACAGAAGAGCTTGGATTAAATATTGAAAATGTGGATATGGAAATGCTAGGGACATGCAAAAAGGTAAAGTTGCACCAGGTTTTAAAAGCATGTTTTTTCTTACCATTATGTCTTTTCTGGGATATTATGTTTCTTGATAATTTCTTGAAGTAGAGATGAACTTCATTTTCTTGGTCTTTATCTCTAAATAAGTTGATAAAACAGTCTTATTTCTGTGGCCTTGTTGTTATTAATGAAGTTTTACTATTGTTCCAGGTCACAGTATCAAAGGATGATACTGTTGTTCTTGATGGTGCGGGAGAGAAGACGTCTATTGAGGAAAGATGTGAACAGGTTTGTATTGGCATGATGAATTAGTAATGTGAACTGGAAGACTACTGGTTTGCTGTCAAGCATTTAGTAGGTTTTATTGATTAAATTTGGTGTTCATTCTTGCCAGATCCGATTGGCTGTTGAATTAAGCACATCTGATTATGACAAGGAGAAGCTACAAGAAAGACTAGCTAAGCTCTCTGGTGGAGTGGCTGTATTAAAGGTTTGAACTTGTTTGCCTGCCTTTTGTCTTTCTTGACACGAAATGTGGCTGTTTCATTGCATGTCCAGTTTTAGTAATCGTCTTTTTCTTGCAGATTGGAGGGGCCAGTGAAGCTGAGGTTGGTGAGAAGAAAGATAGAGTCACTGATGCACTAAATGCCACCAAAGCAGCTGTTGAGGAAGGAATTGTACCTGGTGGCGGTGTTGCTCTTCTCTATGCCTCAAAAGAATTGGAGAAGCTCCCAACAGCTAACTTTGATCAGAAGATTGGTGTTCAAATTATTCAGAATGCCCTGAAGGTTTGTAGTGTTTTCCCCTCATTCAAGTTGTCAGTGGCAGTCCCCCCTCCTCCTCAAAAGTTAACCGAACTGTTTAACCCCATTGCAGACGCCAGTGCACACAATAGCCTCTAATGCTGGAGTAGAGGGAGCTGTTGTCGTTGGTAAACTGCTTGAGCAAGATAACGCTGATCTTGGATATGATGCGGCGAAAGGTATATATGCACTTGCTAACTAACAGAAGAATATTAATGAAACCATGAGTACTTTATAAAGCCCAAAAGATGCTGTGGTGTATGTACTTAGATTGTTTGTTTGTCTTATATGCAACAGGTGAGTATGTTGATATGGTTAAGGCAGGTATTATTGATCCGGTGAAAGTCATAAGAACAGCCTTGGTTGATGCTGCTAGGTATGCTGAACTCCTGTTACTTTTGTCATAAGCACGCTTTTGCTACATGCTCTTATTAATCGCTTATGTTTCTGCAGTGTATCTTCTCTCTTGACGACAACGGAGGCAGTGGTCGTTGAGCTTCCAAAGGACGAGAAGGAAACTCCAGCTGGTATGGGCGGTGGCATGGGCGGAATGGGTGGTATGGACTATTGATAGGATCCATAATCCCCACCTAGTCATCTGCCTAAACACACAATTCTTTAACTCTCACAAATAAAAGAATCTAGGGTTCATCCCATTTTGGCAAAGACTAGAGGTGTTCCTGTAATCTAGTAACATATTATCCAAACCAGACTTGATGGTTTTCCATGATGAGGAAATTGTAATTTTTGTCCTTGACGGCTCGGATTCTAATTATTCTTGTTAACAAAGCCTTTTCTCCCATTGAACTCAATTCAAGAATATAGTTTCTAATTATTCTTGTTAACAAAGCCTTTTCTCCCGTTGAACTCAATTCAAGAATATAGTTTCTAATTATTCTTGTTAACGAAGCCTTTTCTCCCTTTGAACTCAATTCAAGAATATAGTTCCAAGGCAGGGTTTACCTTGTGTGCACTCTTGGGTGGTTGTAGGTTTTCCTCGTCATCGGAAAAAGAATACTGTTCAAAAAATTTCTAAATTGTTTTGCCACTTTGTGTTAAAAGTTCAGCTTGGCTTGTGAATGATATAAAGCAAGAGCCATGCACAATTGAACTTGTGAATGATATAAAGCAAGAGCCATGCACAATATACTGAAAGCTTCTACGAAGGGAATAGCTCATTTCTAGGAATGCTATTCCCAAAAAAAAAAAATAGTCAAAACAAACAATAGAACAGGATTATTTATAGGAATGTTATTCCATCCCTGATCTATTTTATGATAACCATGCTGTTAGTTCTTTAGTACATACAATAATTGGCTTCCTTATTATTGACTAAAACATCAAACAGAACATGAACTAACAAATATCAGCCCATTTCCAACATTCAATAAATAAGGAACTCAGATTTATGATATCAGAAACATGAACTGTGTCAAAAGACAGTTGGGGAGTATGTGAAGGTATACATGTCCTAAATTGCCTCTAACATGGTTGCTTCTTCCTTTCATGTATGATACAACAACAGTCGTTCTCTCGTGTGTGTGTGCCCCGATTTCTAAGTGTAAATGTTCTGGTCTTCACCTTAAGCAAGCATGTCTTGTCTTCGACAAAAGAACTTCCTTTTCTTCTTGTGATTTACAAAACTTCCTCAAAAAACCCCAAAGAACGTGGCACCAGCAAAAACCAAAAACAAAGCTCCACCTAGGAAGCCCACCTGATTATGAAAGGTGCTTAGAAATCTGTTTGCAGATTCAGAAATTCTTTCAAGTTGGAATTTTATTTGCTTACCAGCTTTTCAGAAATGTAGTTGGCAAGAAAAGCGCCTCCTAGTATTGCGAGAGATGTTGCAACCAAGTGTCCAGCAATAGCACCACTTGCAACTCCCCATGGAGACTGCAAAATAGATCCGATCCATTCAAGGTAAAAACAAAAATTACCTTCCCAAAAGAAAAATCACGAATAATTAAAATGAGACTCTATAACTACTTGTGCTCGTAGAAACTATACCTGTGCCGCGCCCAAAGCTATTGTTGCAAGCATAGAGCGGTCTCCCCATTCCTAAAAAGAAAACTAGCAATATTTCTTAACTGGAAAAGTAAAAAAAAAAAAAAAACACTTGACTTCTCGAGGAGGTTCTTACAGCAAAAAATACAAGGCTGAATGACTTCCACAGAATTTCAAATGGATTCGAGAGTCGCTTTGAAGCCTGAAGAAATCAATGTCGGTGGCTATAATTAAATCTGAAAGAGAAGCAACCGAGGGACATAATAATGTACTAAATCAAGATAATCACCTTTTCCTTCACAAGTTCCTCAGCCTCAACGTATTCATCACCTGTTTTAACCTCCTCAGATGGAAGTTCCCACGCGTCTTTGATTGACTTGAGGCCAAAGAATACTAGAAGTGCTATTGCTGCATACTCTCCAATCGGCAAGGCTGCCGCAAAAAAATTTAAAAAGTTAGATTAGTTTGATTGATGAAATAATACAAGTCTAGAACGAACTTACTTGTTTGGAACTGTGCTGGCACAGAATGAAAGATCCTTCCTATTACGACAGAGAAGATGGTCATAAGTGAAAGAGCACCCATTGATCCCAGAAGAACCTGACCAATACTTCATCAAAGTAAGAACAAACCCTACCACTATCAAATCATGAGCTATAAATTGTTGAACGAATTTCACTTCTGAGCAAGATAAACATCTCTACCATTTTTATTATTATTTTTTTTGCTTCTTATGGTTCATATAATACAACACTCGTGGCAATCTCTCCAATGTATAATGTCAATATGACTACACAACAACCTCTCTAGACACAAAATTTCCAGTTCAGTTTCTTAAGTTTAACCCTTTTTGAAAATATAAATAAAGATCTTATAGGATGATACGTAGGGACAACTTCTCATTGTTGATTGACATGATATTTTACAAGAGATATGATTTTAGAAAATTACAAGATACATATTTAACGTCAAAAGTTCCACATGACCCAAGTCAGAGAATTTTTCACAAACTAAAACTGCATATCAGAAAGAGGGTAGAGCAAGATGTTGAGAACTCATACCAATAGTCTCTTGTATTGCATTGCCAATAGTGCAGCAATGAAAAATGTCTGTAAAATTAGAGCAAACGAAGAATTAATGAAATAGGAATATAGGACATATTCAAAGAGTACCTTAAGTTGCCTTTAATTTAAAGAGATTCTTGATGCTAAATAATTTTTATTCATCAAAGTGCTATTACCTGTTTATTGCAATAACACATATATGAATGAACTAAACTTAACATATATATAATGTATAAATAACTGAAAATTCTCCAATGCGGATTAGTAAAAATACTGACTACTATAAATAGAAATGGGTGGTGATGTTTTTTTTTTTTGTAAATAGTGAAAGTAAAACTATTATTCTATTTACAAAATGCCACCACGCGTTTCTATATATAATTGTTGGCATATTACTATTCGGCATTATAGAATTTCCCTATAAATAATTAAATGCACCAATAACACTATTTATCTTTGCTGAGAACAATGCAAAAGAAGTGGCTTAATAGTGTCTAAAGAAAATCAGAATGACCTACATGGATACTGAACATGGAGTTAAAAAGATAAGGTCAATCGAAGAAACACAAAATACTGAAAACAATAGAAAGCATGCGTTACGACTTGGGATTTTTTTATAAACTATAGCAGGTGATTATATATACCTTGTCGCCAATTTCAGATACAAATATCAGTGAGAATGCTGCAGTAAAGCCTGACTTCGAAAATGCAGTTAAGATTGACGAAGGTCCTCCTTTTACAAAGGCAATCAGTGAAAATACCAAAGCGCATCCACATAGCACTAGAGCTATAGAGAGAGGATAAGGAATTTGATTTGGAAGCTTCTCACTGCCATTCATGAAAGGCAATATATGTTTCAGGCTGAATATCAAGAAAGTTCTAATTGGGACACTGCATAAAGTAACATTATGAAACATATTGAATGAAAGTGTATATGACATCATCAGAGAAGGCAAAAAGTCTTTTGTTTGGAAGCTTCTCACTGCCATTCATGAAAGGCAAAAAGTGCATATGACATCATCGTTGTTTAGACTCACTCTTTAGCTGAAGTATCTATAGGTGGCTCACTGAATTCTTCATAACCCCCTGATCCAATGCCAACATTAGATGCATGTGACGTTGTTCTGCAGTGCCTCCAGTGCAGCTTAGGCAGCTCCCACCTTCTTACTACAAATCAGGGTTAATGACTTAATGCAAATCAACTTGATGTGCAAATAATAAAAAAATTACCCCAATCCACAAAATCGTGAATACTTAAAATGGTAATGACCTTAGAAAATTGACAAATTAGGAAATAAAATTATCTAAGAGTGAATCAGCACCCTGGCTTAACAAGCAATTTCTCACACAGTCAAGGAACAGTGAAAAAAATTAAAACTTGTTTATAAAAAGATCTAGCAGATGGCATGCCATTATCTTTCATATGAAACATAAGCCCAAAGCAGAACTTCTTGCAGGATACCATTCAAAGTATCTTCAGAACAGTGCTTTACTACAGTGTACCTATTTAACTAATGGTAGAAATAGATGGCCAGAGAAAGAAAAAAAAAAGGACATGGACTACTTAAATTTCTTAAGACTGTAAAGGGTCAGTAAGGCAGTTTGCAACCCTTCCACCAGTCAAATTCTTTTTATTGGTGCAAAGAAGGATCCTGGCCTGGCTTTAGTATGCATCTAAAATACTTTTCATTTATGGTGAATAAAAGGATCCTGCGTTTTAGCTACAAACATCAAGGAGCCAAGAATTTGTGTTTTCATTTACCCAATTGCACCAGCAATTAGCACTTGGTGGATAACAAATTGTGTTAGTAGTTTAAACTACTAGACTGTGTTAGTTGTTTGTAGAAAGGTGTTTGGTAAAATTAGTTGTTTATTAGCATGTGACTTCAAAAATAGGAACACCAAAGGCAGAAGCAGGAGTTCATCAGGGCAAAAAAGGATTGTGCATTTTTTTTTTTTTTTCCAATCACAATCGCTACTCAGAGGAGCATTTCTAAAATCAGTATTTTGAACCCATAACGCTAAGGGAAACCACGCCTTACCAAACGCCCAATTTAGCGGTTTAACTGGTCAAATCCACTAACTTTTGCTCAAAATGCTGTTTACCAAACAAGCCAATAATCTACTATTATTTGACAGTCAGATATACCATGACAGACTCAGTGATGAAATGCAATTCTAAGCAGTCTAACACTGGGTGCCCTTGAACACTGGACAAGGCCATGGGTGTTCAACAACTTCCAAAAGTATAAAAGAGATTTCTATTTCAATACACAACTTGTTAACATTAAGAAAATAAATAAACAAAGGCATAAAGGTTTCAGCTTTAACACATTTCTAAAATTGTTTACAACACAATTAAAGTCAATAATTTCGAACTTACTATCTCAATTCCCCCTAAATTAAGACAAACAGCAATCAAATTCAATAAACTGGAAACGCCCATTTAAACTAGTTTCTAGCTGATCTAAATGGAACTCACTAAAACCAACCGTTCAAAAAAGAAACATGATTGAGGTAGAAAGAAGAAAAGGGTGTTTAATAACTTACAGAAAGAGGGTTGTACAAGTGTAGTTCTTGCGGGTACGAAAGGGCACGTAGGCAGAGTGTGAACCAAAGGGAACAAGGGAATCTTAATCGTTGTTCCCTTGCTTGGTGTAATGAAAGGATGAGCATTCCGAAGAACCAAGCCCTGCATTTCTTCTCCAATTCTACTCCGTACTACTAACAAAGGAGTTGCAGCTTACTGATACAGATTCATCTGTGAAGTTAAGGGAGAAAGAAGAAGAAAAGGAGAGTTATTACAAAGGGAGTCAAAAAGACTGAATTTTTCCAAGAAAATTAGACCCTCTTCCCGGTATGAGTAAGTACTGACTTCTGAGAGATGAGAATCCGGTACCGGAACGCTTCAGCTTGCCACGTGCACCAGATAAAGTGGAATGCCCCAGTTGCAGTTGATCAAGAAAAGGTACTTCTCGTATAAAGGGTAGCAGTTAGTACGACGTCGTTTAAATCCCCTTAAGCTGCTAACATATAGTACAACTGTTGATTTTCTGGCTAATTTAATTTGAGTATTTCGAATGTAGTAGTCTGTTGTACAATGTTATTTAAATGTGTGCATTAATTTGATAAATTGTAGTATTGTACAGCAATTATTTAAAAAGGCCTTGCATGACCTTGTGGTATAAATGTATTTACAAAGTTTATGACTTTTTTTTTTTTTTTTTTTTTTTTTGTTATTTGTAAGTTATTTAGTTTAAATGTGATCACACAAATAATAAATAACAAATAATAATAGTTTATTTGTTATTTGCATAAATACTTGGTTCAACTCCCACTTCATTTGTCCGTTTTGCCGCCAAGATCTTAGTGGCGGGGAGTTGCCATAGCCATAGCGATTTGTCTATGTTATCACATTACGTATGAAACAAAAAATATATAGATTGTTATAAATGACTTTATAAATGAAAGAACACCCTCTCTATGCTAATAAATTATTATTGAGTTATAAATTTTTTTTTTTTGAAAATTGAGTTATAAATTTAATTTATCTATGTTTTACAAATTTAATCATTTACTTGTTGAAAGAGTTCTAATTTAAGTAAGTCATTTGTCTAATTGATGTATCAACTATCAAGTTTTGTTTGTATTATATAACTAGTATTTTCACTCGTGCGTGGCACGGAATGGATTTGTTATAATATTTTAAAAATATTTGGATTGATATACAAATATAAATTATAAAAACGAAATGCTGTAATTAATGAAATATAATGGGTTGTATCAATTATGTTTTCTAATGTTATCATTGCTTGAATTCGAGTAAATAATTGCTCAATTACCCGTGCGATGCGCGTGCATCTCCCTCAGCTCATCCATCACCTCCTACATCAGTAACACTATTAGCCCTCATTTCTCCCTCAGCTCATCCACCGCCTCCTGCCAGAACTTCCCTTTCTCAGTACTTCCTCCATTGTATTACGAATTGTATTACCATATTTTGATGTACAGTTATAGTACGAATAGGAATTGTATTAACATATATTTTACATTATTACGCAAACTTTAATAGTGTATTACACAAACTTTAATAATGTATGAGTCTTTTTAATGCATATTTAGAAGAGAGAGAGAGGGGTGATGTGGAGGGAAAATAATTGGGGGGTGGGGGCCTGGGGGATAAGGGTTTTTTATTATTATTATTATTATTATTATTTTTTAATTACTTTTTAGTGCCAAATAGTAGACACAAGCAAGGTAAGGGAAAGTGTAAGTCTACAATGACATTGCTTTCTTCTTCTGTTTTAGCAACAACCATTGCTTTCTTATGCTCTGCCATTCCATTTTTTGGGTCAATTTTTTATTCATTACCCTGGCTAAATTCTCAGTGGTAATCACTCAAATTCTACCCTATTACCAAACATATAAAATACTTTTACTAAAATCATATTTAATTTTCGTTCCGATTCTAATTTCCATGTCTGAAGTCTGAACCAAACACACCTTGAATATTACCCGACTCCATAAAAGTACGAATTAAATAACTTCAAACTTCTAATAAAATTTATAAAAGCTAGAAGCCTAGAACCAAATACACCCATAAATTATAACATGTTTGACAATTTATTAATTACAAAGTCAAAGGAAAGAAAAACACACACGCGCAAAAATAGGGGGCAGTTTGGTGCTCATATCATTACATCCTAAAGCAACGTAAAGCCATAGGCCAATCCAAACTTCATGTTTCACCATCCAAATCCAAAACCTCCGATCCATCCACCGCCCTATAATTATAAACACCCGTCTCCCATCCCACCCAAACACTACAACTTAACGCACCAAAATATATAACCAAAAAAAATAATAATAATAAAAAAAAACTATGGGTGTCACCGCCAGCTCCAGCCTGCAGCACAAGAACGTTGCAGTGTTTTTTATAATAATAATAATGGCTGTCGTCGCCGCCGCAGACGACGGCGCGTCAGATTCCAATTACCAACCCTGCTTCGAGAAGTGCCTGGACGATTGCATATCGAAGGAGATGGGGGCCTACACCTTCTGCGAGTTGAAGTGCGAAGGCGATTGCGGCGTTCAGGAGGTCGCATCACAAACTAAAGAAAGATGAAGCGACAAATCTTACCATAAATAAATAAAACGTACATTTTTAATATATTAAATATATATTATTTATGTACTGAATGATTGAATGTACATTATTTGACAATAAATTTTACTATATAAACTCTTGAATTATACTTTCTAAATTTTACTCCCTTATGTAGTGGATACTGATAGATTACTTTTTTATTTTATTTTTATTTTTTTAATGTGTATCTCAATATAAGTATCTACATCAAAATTTTGTGTGTGAGAATAAAAATTGAAAGTAAAAAATAAAAATACATATAGTATTTTCCATTTGACAATATATAAAATATAATAATGTTTAGTTAATAAATAATATAATTTTAATATATTAAAAATATACATTTTATTTATATTCTACACAATTTTATGGACCGATTCATGGAATAACAATTGCTTCAATTCATGGCGTGTAATTATGCTGTGGACTCGTGTCCACAATCGATGTCGTTTTCAGGAAAAACAACGGCATTTCAGTAAAAAAAAATTAATTTTGTCTCGCCATTAACAACGTTATTTGTTTGTGAAATTATGAATGTACAGTTATGAAATTATGAATGTACAGTTATGGAATTATGAATACAGAATTCTGACATTATGAACTTACAATTATGAACATATAGTGATAAAATTATGAACATAGAGCTCTAAAATTGTGAACATAGAGCTTCGAAAATTATGAATTTACAGTTATTGAATTATGAATGTACAATTATGGAATTATGAACACAAAGCTCTGACATTATGAACTTAGAATTATGAACATATAGTGATAAAATTATGAACATAGAGCTTTGAAAATTATGAATTTACAGTTATTGAATTATGAATGTACAGTTATGAAAGTATGAATGTACAGTTATGGAATTATGAACATAGAGCTCTGACATTATGAACTTACAGTTATGAACATATAGTGATAAATTTATGAACATATACTCCTATAATGAAGCGGGGTCTGAAATTATAAAAAATGGTGAAAGATAATGGTACCATTAACGACACCGTTACCGTATCCAGAATGTATGCTGGACACGGGTCCATAGCATAACAATTGGCCTGTATAGTATGTAGGCCGGGCGCCATTTGATTCACCAAATTGCTATGTTTTGTTAGGCCCAACAACAATCATGAACACTGCACAAAAGTTTTGCTAAATTAGAAATGAAATTCCTATGCATATATGCATGATTACCATGTTATATGTTATTCAAGTCAATACCAATTCTTCTTTTTCTTTTCAATGAAAATGACTATTGTTAGGAAAATTTAAAGTTAATAAACCTTATTAGTATCTATTAGGTAATTAATTCAACAATATTTATTTAAGATATTTTTCATTCACAAGCTGATGAATGACCAAGATTTGTTTAGCTAGATAATATGTTTAACCGATAGTATTTAAAGAGGATATCTATTAATGAGTTTAGAGAGCGGCAAATCAAGATTGTCTTCTCATTTAAGAACACAAACCACCCATCTTAAGTACACAAATTATGCACATTAAGCACACAACAAAGTACTTTAAGAACACAAACCACACACCTAATTAAGATTTTAAAATGGCTCACCTTGAGTTTCACACAACTGACGCACCTTAAGAAGAAAAATCACACACCTTAAGTTTGAACAACTACTCACATTAAACACAAAAGCCACGCACCTTAAACACAAAACACACGCACCTTAAGCATAATACCCACGCACCTTAAGTTTCAACAACTACTCATATTAAACACACAACTCACGCACCTTAAGCACAAAACCCACACACCTTAAATTTGACCTAGATTCAAAAATTATCAAATTGCCACCACGTTTTCTTTTTTGGGTAATCTTAGACGTTGATTTAAGTAAAATTAATGACTCAGATTTAACTGCACAACTGCACCTGAACGCACCAACCACACCAGAACCTATATATATATATATATTATAATTATATAATTGTAGTGGTGGCCGGATTAGAAAAAGAAAAGGGTTTGAGAAGTCGACACGTTTTACCGCTATACTTTTAAATTCCATGATGTTGAAAATGACAATTATTGTAATGGATTAGTAAAGGTTTAGACAAACTCATAAACAAAATTATCAGGAGTGGCAACTTGCAAAAGCATGGGATTCGAAGATCAGTTTATGTGTGCAAATGATTAGTTTAAGACTACTGTCTCCTCGTTGTTACTATTTTGGCTGCTGCTAATCATGATTATACTTTAAGACTCCTATCATGGAATTTTATTTTATTTTTAATTGTTGCTAAAGATATGTTGTTTACGCCCAATATTAATACTCTGATCTATATTAAAATTCTAAATTTATTTAAATTTTAGATATTTATATTATTGTATAATTAATAATAATAATAATTATTATTATAATGTAATCATTTTATAAATTTGATATTTATATTTTAGAAAACATCTTATTATATAGTACTTCAATATATAATGTCTATATATTACTACCACACCATTGAAAAAGATAAGAAAATATACGGTGGATGCATATGCATGGCAACAATAGTTAGAAAAGATAACAGAAGTTATAGAGGATTATGAATATTTTTGTCTAAAATAATATATAGTACCACTATCTTAGCTTATATGATAATGTATACATACATTAAAAAAAATGAAATAAAATGAAGCGTATAACTTTCATTCAAACTAATTAATTTTTAGAATAGTCTCATAAATTAATAAACACAATTTGACAACAAGCGCATCGCGCCTCTTCTTTAATAAGATTATTTGTTAGTTTCTATCTTATAGAGTTACTTCTCCCAAATCTTAATGAGTTACTAATTCATATTAAATATATTTAATAACTAGATGATATTATAAT